AAATACAGGGCAAAATGTTTGATGGGCTTTTTGCAAAGCTAAATGAATGCCTTGTATTCCTAGATAAACAGTACCTGCTATAAAACTGTCATTATTATTTACTCCAATAATTAGTGAATCCTCCAAGCGGGTGGATTTCCACATGGCAAAGCCAAGACCAAAGATCTGGGTAGGGAATGTTGGTGTATGGAAATCCAATCATTTCTGGCTTTGCTATGTTAATATTATATCAACATAACTGGCCAGACCATTCCTCTCAGCCTAAGTTTAGAAGGCACTAAAGAGTGGAAAGAAACAGTGGCTTTTATTCTTGAATATAATCCAGTGATAAGTAAAATAAATTATGGAATCTAAATTTGCTACATATTGAAAATGTCCAATTCTTTCAGTTAATTTGTCATATAGTTCTAGATTTTTGACAATTCTACTAATGGTTTTCATGATAAATTACCAGAAAGCAAGAGATTACATTATTACATTGTTTATCAATGTTTTGCCAGTTTTAACAAAATAACCTCTCCCACCTGCACCCTGCCATTAAATGGGTATTGTTCCCATGTATATATGCATGTATGTATTTACTTATTTATTTATATCCTGTCTTTATTATTTTTATCAATAACTCAAGATAACATATCCAACACTTACTTCCTTCTCTTATGTTCCCCTCAACAACAATCCTGTGAGGCGAGTTGGGCTAAGAAAAAATGACTGGCCAAGGACATCCAGTCAGATTTCATGCCTAAGACATGACTAGATCAAACTAGTATTGAATCCTAATTGAACTATTCATATCACAGTCTAAGGGTGTATTTGACTTATTATTATTTATTAATTTGTTTATTAATCAAATTTATATGTCCACCCATCTCATGAAAAGTGACTCTGGGCAGCATACAACAATCCAATAAAAAAGTAGAAGTATAAGACAATTATTATCTAAAACTATTATATAATAATTATTTTTAAAAGCATTAAATTTTTTATTAATCAAATTTATATAACTGTCCATCTCATGAGAAGCCACTCTGGGTGGCATACAGCAATCCAATAAAAGAGGAGAAATGTAAATCAGTCATTATCTAAAGCCTTATATAATAATTATTTAAAAGGCATTAAACATACAGTATTTATTAATCAAATATATTTGGCTGCCCTCCTCATGGAAAGTGACTTTTTTCCAAAGATCCCAAACCAGGATGATTATTTGGCTGTTGGTTTAATTTTTGAAATATGTTGTCAAGATCAATAATCTGGCAGGATTAAAAAAAATTAGACATATCTAGAGCAGATAATCTTACAGGTACACCTTGTTTAGTGACCACATTTGGGACTGTCAGCTTGGTTGTCAAGCAAAGCACTTGCGAAGTAAAACTGTGATTGTTACTTCAGATTTCCTTTGCTTTATAGCTCTTCAGAAGTAGAAAATATGAGGACTGGTCACAAGTAACTTTTTCATCCCTCCTGTAACTGCAAATGTAACTGCAAATGGTTGCTAAATGAGTCAGTCGCTAAATAAGGACTACCTGCATTGGTTGTTCACCAAGACGGAGAGAAAATACAAATACCCTCAAAATATTTTTAAAATTGTACATTTTAAAAGTTCTGCATATTAACTGCTTTTTATCAAATTCATTGCTACAAATGTCTTGGATGTCTTGGAATCTGATTATACTGATTATCACATGGAAGTACATTTGTCAAGTGTAGTGGATGTTAAATTAATAAGATTATTTACATCCCATGAAATTTTGATGAATGTGGCTGATAACTGAAAAACTCATGGGAGGCCACAGGAAATACTAGAGCGATAGGCTAGACTGGCAATGGAAAAAACATGGGAAAAAGCAGTGGTAAACAATTTCCATATTTTTGTCAAAAAAGAGGCATGGAATTTTGCTCCACTCAGAAAGAATTTGCTCAATTCAACAATATTTTGCTCAACTCGAAAATTTATTTTTTTAAAGAGTTCTTGTCTTTCTTTTTGAGAGAAATAGTTATTGTTGTTCTTAATATAGTATGTTCTAGTGTCTTAGTGGTATCAGATTGAAATTATTTTTATTTCCTAGTTGGAAATGGCTGGTATGTATTTATATCAGAAATGTATACGCATATATGTAGATTTATAGCAGGGCATTATTTAAGGAAAAAAGGAATGAGGGATGTGAACATAATGGTTTAGGATAGTACATAACTATAATGATATGCAGGAAAGACCTTGGGAGATTGGGCAAAGAGACATTGCCAAGGAAAAGATCAGATAACAGACAGCTTAGCCCACACATTGCGTGAGGCAAGAGGCTCAAAAAACACTCTCAGGAGAAATGTTGGGTTGTAAAGGAGACGGGCGTGGGATTGTACTTTCAGATTTGAAAACTTCTGTCAATATAATTTTAAAATAAAGTAGAATTAGCTCATCTGGTTGTCTTTCCTATCTAGTTAATCCTATGAGGATGACATCAACCTTGCAAGTCAAACAAACACCCCCCCCCCCCAGCATCTCTTATCTGACCATTCCCATGGTACTGTTTCTTTACCCAGTTTCCCAAGGTCCTTCCGCATACTATTACAATAAGTCTGCATTGCAAACAAAGGGAGTGTGCCTTGTTTCAACAAAGTTAGGACTATGGTCATAACATTGTTCTTTAACATAAAGTGACAAAGAATGAGTCGTCCAGGGAAAAAACTCATAATGACTTTTGAACTGGACTCTTAGTTATACACAACAAAGGAAGTTGAAATAACCACAGGAATTCTAGCCTTCTTGACCTCTGCTATAACACTTAGCAAAAATAGAGTTTCAAACCCTTCCATAGAATTTAAAGATATATGTGGATGTCATTTGGGTAGGTCAAACTGAGTAGTGAAGAAACAATGGAATGGCTGAAGTTAAAACCTGGTATTTTACAAATTAGAATATTTTACAAATTAGAATAAGAGAAAGGCAACTGGTAACCCCCTTCTCTAATGTTTTGAATTTCTTGTCTTAACATTCCCAACTGCCTATGGCTAATAAGGGATTGTAAAAGATTCTTTGGATGGTTGAAGCCAGAATGAGGTTTTTATGAGGAAGGAATTGCAGTATTTGTTCTGCTATTGATTATACTGCTGTACTGTCCTTTTTGTTGACATGCATCCTTTTAGTTGATTTTTATGTATTGTGGATTGCTCTCTCTTTATATATCCTATTGATGAATCTTTGAAAGTTAAAAAAAAATGAAGTACATCATGTCAAGTTTGCCTATTGATAATATGTACTGTCTTGGGCATAAAAAAAGATCTTGATTCCAGTATAACATAAGGTTGTGAAATCAGTGTAAATAATAATAAGCACGTCCAACTTATTTTAGTGGGAACAAAGTCCAACTGGCATCATGGTTTCATCTCTGTGTATTTGGATTAGGGGTCAGACCAGTAATAAAATCTGTTACAAGACAAAACGTGATTTGATTTCAGAATCATCTCTGATCTACACCTTCTGTACTTGGTAACTCCAGATACAAACAGGAGCAGAGTTGCTGCTTGGGTTGACACTGCTAGATTAGATGGGCCAAAAATCTGATTGTAAGTCCCAATATAAATTCTCACTGATGGTCACATTTTATGAACTATTGTCATAATGCAAATAATAGCTATAAAATACATATATGGTTCAGTTTTAAATCATTCCTCTCTTTTTATCAACTTTATTAAATTAAATATAAAATAACAGAAAAGGAAAAATTATGGGGAGGAAATAATAAAGGGGAATAAAGAAAAAGTGACAAGAAAAAGTGACAAGAAAAAGTGGGGAATTGATTTCTGACTTTCTTTAGTACAGACACAAATATATAATACCTCTTATTCTAAGTTAAAACAAAACATAAAAACGTCTTGTAAAATATACAAATCAAATCAATCAAAATAACATTAAAATATATAATAAAAAACTCTCTTACTCTAGGTTTAAAAATAAACTTAATATAGGTCTAAAGAATTTAAGTCTAATAAGAATAAAAGTACACAATATTAATCATAACAAATCTAATCAAGTCCTAAAATCAAATTTTCATTTTTATCTTTCTCAAGCAAGTAATCTAAAAATGGTCTCCAAATAGAAACAAAGCTAGATAGGCTTTTTTTTCTAGAATCCTAGTTCTTCAACATTTTTATTCATGAAAAGGTAAATGGAATGGTTATTAGATTTATAAAGGATACAAAATGTATTAGAAGAGTAATACTTTAAAAAAGAGAAATAAAACCCAAAACAGTTTTGATACTTTCAGAAAAATGGGCTAAAAGTAACAATGAAATTTAGTATGAGCAAATGAAAATTTTACTTAAGAAACTGAAATTAAATGCAGAGATGGGGTCCGTGATATATGACTTTGTAGTAGGACATATGAAAAGAATCATGGAATTGTAATTAATTACAAACTAAATATGAGCAAATGAAGTATAATTTCAAAATTATGTAAATAATACTGGTTCTTCTACAGTGGTAGACTTGATATCAAACATTGTGTTTAGTTTAGCAAAAGGATTTAGATAACGCTCACCATGTGCAAAAAGGAGCAAAAAGGATGGTATAAAGGTATAAAGAAAAATTGAAGGCATTAGGAATATTTAGCCTTGAGAAGGAGACAGAGTGGGAATAGTCAGTTTGGTCTAGTGGTTAAGGCACCAAACTAGAAATTGACACCGTGACTTAAAGTCCCATCTTAGCCATGAAAATCAGCTGGGATGACTGGGCCAGTCCATCTCATCTCTCTCAACTCAATTCAGGATTGAGGTGTGATGGATATTTCCACTGCCTTGAACAAAATAATATAGGCAGGATTAAAATACATAAATAAATAAATGGGTCCTTGGTGCTCTCTGAGCTTGGTTGTTTTCTTGCAAACATTTCATAAATTATTTTTAAATTTATTTAAATGTAAATTCATAAATAAATACAGGTAGTCCTTGACTTCCAACCATTCATTTAGTGATAATTCAGAGTTACTACAGCACTGAAAAAAGTGGTTCATGATCATTTTTCACACTTACAACTGTGGCCGCGTCCCCATGGACATGTGACCAAAATTCAGAGGCTTGGCAACTGGTTTATATTTATGACGGTCGCAGAGTCCCAGGCTCATATGATCATCTGTTGCAACCTTCTGACAAGCAAAGTCAGTGGGAAAGTCAGATTCAGGTAACAACCTTAAAAAACAACCTGTCTCTAACTTAACAATTGCAGTGTTTCACTTAATAAACATGGCAAGATGTTAAGTGAGTTTTGCTCCATTTTACCATCTGCCTTGCTTAGCAAGAGAAATGTTGGGCTCAATTACGGTCATAAGTCGAGGACTACTTGTAAATATCATAGTGCTCTTTAAATAACTTGAGAGAATGATTATGCAGAAGTCAATAATTATTTTCTTCTCTTGGTGCAGGTCATAGAAAGCTGGTTTTAAATAATAAAATAATAATAATAATCATCATCATCATCATCATCATCTACTGATATTACGAGAAATGTCCCTTGGTTAAACATACAGGGTGGATTTCTCATCACTGGATGTGTTTAAGCAAAGGCTAGAGAAGATCAGTAGTTTAAATATTGTGGCTTGATTATCTATTTGTTTATTCTAAAAATAAGGCTGTTGGCTATTCAGCTGAATTATGGAAATAAAAGTGTATTGTTTTAAATGAATTTTGGAAAGGAACAGTGAATTCTAGTTTACAGCCAATACAGTACTATTACCCTAAATTAGATATTGTACAAAGGAACATGAGAAATATTTTGCGTGCGTCTTTTTGAACTGAGTTTGCCCCAACTAAGTATTAAAACAATTCTTGCTACTACCTACACAGCTGCTAGCTCTTCATTTTTTTTATTAATAAAAGTGCATTATGTTCCTGAAATTTTAGTATAGTTGACAACAATTTTGGCTTATCAACTAAAGAAAAAATGCTGTCAGAATTCCTGAAAGCATAATGTAACTGTCATTAGCCTCCTACACAAGCTTTTCAAAGAGAGCTTATTTGCTAGAAGGAGATGGAGATGTATTGATTGTAAAGTGTGGATATAGCAAAGTTTTTAAAAAGCTTTCATTGTATGATACATGTTTACTTTAAGAATGGTACTACATGGTTAAATTTTCTATTTAGTAATATTTTTCCAGAAAATATTTTTCTCCTTTTAAGCGAGGACATATTAAGAACGTAGGTGTTAGTTTTATTTAATGAAAGCTATTGTGAGGATAATGTGTAGTGGTTCATAAGCTCTTGAAATTCTGTTTTTGAAGTAGTCCTTATGGGCAATATTGAAGAATCTTTTATTTTTAACAATTCCGTTAGTTCGTATTTGATGTGCTTTGTCTTTTTAAAATGGTAATTAATTTTTTCTCTGATTGCCTCTAATCACTACAGAAAGCAAGCTTAGAGATGTCTGCTATACTCAATTACTGTGCTTTGTTTTCAGCGATGTCATCATTATTTTTAATCATTGTTAAAAATTAATGCTAGCATTAGCGTACATTAATGCACATTAAATTAGTATTGAGGATCAGTAACTATCATTCTGGTCCAGTGCTTCTGCCTTGACCTGTTTTTACACATGCTTTTTATATGTGAATTGCTTTACTGCACTTATACATACATACAAAATTAAATACATTTGAAGGATAAAATTAGTGCTCTAGGTGGTTCTCAACTCATGACTGCAGTTGGGACTGGAATTTCAATCATTAAATTGTGATGATTGTAAATTGAGGAACCCACATGACCAGACCCAATTTTATGACTGTTTATATGGCAATCATTAAGAGAATCAAGATGTTGTAAATCTGAATCACATGATTGTTAAGTGAACCACAAGGTTGTAAGTGCTAACATATTCTCCTAAAAGGGTGTTTTTTTGCCAGAAACCAGCAAAAACACTAGAAAGGGCAAAAAAATGTTGCAAATCACAGTCATATGACTACAGAATCTGCAATCGATGATAAATGTTAGTCAGTTTCTAAGCCCATAATGCAGTCATGTGACCATGGGAGGAGGATGCAACATTTTGATATGGCTAGAATGATATGGCTGCTTTATGGGTTATAAAGCACCTTTTCGGAGGCAATTGTATCTCCATACAGTCATTAAATGACCAGTCTTAAGTTGAAAAATATCTGTAGTTATCATGTTTCCCTGAAAATAAGAGCCACCCAGAAAATAAGCCCTGATTTTTGGTGTGCGCCTAATATAAGCCCTACTCCCAAAATAACCCTAGGTAAGAGCTCGCTCACTCCATCCAACCGTACGGTTGTTCACTGCTGCAATCGGACAGGAGAGTGTGTGTCACACTGGTGCTGTCGCCACAAGTTGAAGCAAGGCAGGTGGGGTAGAGCTGCCCCATATGCCCCACACCTGCTTACCTCAGGGCCTCCACAGCCAGGCCACTCCCTGTTCGGCGACCTCTGCTCACCAGTTCAATGACCCAGCTGCCTGCCCATCTCTTCCCGTTCACTCCCCACTTGAGCCGGACTGCCATGCTATGGATGATGGGCAGGGGAGGCTCAGTCGCCTTACCCGGCCCCCTTCTGCTGTTTTGGAGCCAGAGGGGAGTGATAGAAAGAGGCTCTACTGCCGCCGCACAATAGCTGCATCTGCCGCTGGAGGGGCTTTCCTTGGTCATGGTGCCACCACTTCGCCCCGCAGATCACCTGCCCAGTGGCAGTCACAGCCTCCTTTCCCTCAAATTCTCCCATGGTTTAGGCTGAGGCCAGGTGGCGCAAGCCTCCCCTGCCGCATCCCTCCACCTGCCAGACATCTGCCCGCTCCCTCTGTCTGCCCACAGCCACAACGGCTTACAGGGCTTCTCAGGGCAGACGCTTGGGAGGCACGGGCAGTGCTGGTGGAATGCACCTTCAGGTGAGGAGAGTGGCACGGACATGTGGGGGCAGCTGAAGGACCAGGCAGCACAAGCCTCCCCTGCCACCTCCCTCCGCCTGCCAGACACCCACCAAAGCTGCCCGCCTGCTCCTCATACTGTCTGCTTGTCCACAGCTGCAACAGCTTACAGGGCTTCCCAGGGCAGAGGCTCAGAAGGCGAGGGCAGCGCCAGCAGAATATGCCTTGTGGCGAGGAGGTAAGTGCTGTGGACAGGCGGAGGCAGCCAAAGGATCGGGCAGAACAAGCCTCCTCTGCCACCTCCCTTCGCCTGCCAGACACGGGTCTTGTTTTCAGGGAAACGCTGTACTAGTGTTTTTCGCCCCTTATATTACAGTAATACACATTTAAACAGTACTATTGAAATTAGAAACTGTGACTTGAATATTGGGACTATGGAAACTTATCTTAGCATATAGATCTACACCTTAAGGTAGGCTATTTAATTTTATAATATGTATTTCAATATCTTCTCTACTTTTCAATTAATTGTGATATATAAATGGACAGATGGGTTGCTATGCATTACTGTAATTGGCACTTTTAAAGGATTATGTCCTTCCATATGCTTAAACAATTCCTATTTAATGAGTATAGCTCTGTCTAATGGCAATGAATGGAAACTGTCAGGATTGATTCCTCATTTCTTCAATCTTTCCCATGCTGTAAGGAAGCTATCCCACTTCGATGTTTTTCTATCTCAAAAGTAGGTGAAGGAATGGATGAAGAACCCTCACCCATTCCCACTTTTATGAATGCTCAATTATTTATCCCATATAACAATTTGTTTAACAATTACAATTGGGACCAACAATTCCATTGCTAAGTGATGTGGTCATTACGTATAAACATGACTACTATGGTCATGAGAGGACTAATTCTAAAGCTATTTTTTCAGGGGCATCGTAATTTTGTTTGCTAAACAGGACAATCATTAAGCCAAGAGTACTTGTAAATTTGTTAGCTTTCAGGTGCCAAAAGGTTTCTTACTGGTTTTATAATCTTCCTCAAAACCAACATTAAAGTAGAAAAATATTGATGTTTGGCTTTTAAGTGACTGGTCACTTTTATTGACAATTATTTTAAAAGCAAAAGCAAATAGAGACATATTTGCTATAATAAGTCTAAAGTATTTTACTGGTATGTATTTCTTTTCAGTAGCAATGCAGCAAGTTTTGGATAATCTTACCGATTTACCCTCATCATCAGGAGCTGAAGAAATAGACCTTATTTTCTTGAAAGGAATTATGGAAAATCCTATTGTAAAATCACTTGCTAAGGTATGAGATATTTATTTATGACAGTTAATTTCCAAAAGTTCAATGCTCCTTCTCATGTAGGCTAGTTCCTTGGACATTCCTGATACATCAAGTGAGGAGAATTGACTATGAAATAGTTTTCAAAGAGAGGGCAAACTGTAGGGGATTCCAGAATACCCCAAGAGTGCATTGCTATAATCTAGCAGCAAAAATTGCTGAATTTTAACAAGATAATTGTAATCTATTCTGGGAGGATTCTAAATGGTTTTAGAATTAGGAAAAGTTAGAGATCCTACCTGGAGGATGTTTTTTTTTTTCCCATATCACCCTAACCCCCACCCCATCCCAAAGTTTTGTTATTGACAGTAGCAGCTCTAACCCCTATGTGATAATGCCCCATGTCAATAATGACTTCTTATGGCCCTCCAGAGAGTTGGGAGACTGAATTATGGGGACCAGTTGCATAAACATTGCTGATATTTAGTGTATGAGATAATATGATATGCAAGAGGGTATGAAGGTTGGAATACATTCTTCTGATCGCATTGTTGTTCAGATGTGGGGCCTCCAAACTTAATTATTTTAATTGCTGTGGTAATTCTCAAGTGACCATTAAATATCTTTAACTTCATCTTCTAGATTTCAGTAAACATGCATTAATTTGATGTTTCAAAAATAGCTTGTGAAAAGATAAAAGAAGGATATCTGATCTGTATATAGAGAGCATAGGGAATTATAATCTGAAGTTTTGATATTGTGTTTCTTCAGTATACACTTAATAGATGAATGGCAGTTTCTTCTCCAAAAGGGTAAATACTATTTAGGTAACCCTTGATTTATAACCATTCATTTAACAACTGTTCAAAGATATGATGGAATCAAAAAAGGTGACTTATGACCAATTCTCACATTTACACCTGTCATAATGTCCCCATAGTCACATGATCAAAATTTGGATGCTTGGCAACTGGCATGCATTTTCATTCATTGCAGCATCCTGAGATCATGTGATTGCCAACTGCAACCTTTCCAGTTGGCTCCAACAAGCAAAGTCAATGGGAGAAGCAGACTTAACAAGTTAATAATGCAGTATAAAATTGGGCGTGACTCACTTAATGACTGCTATGTAGTGAACTTTGTTCCTAATTGTGGTTGTAAGTGAAGGACTGTCTAGTCCACAGGTCGGCAACCTGCGGCTCCGGAGCCGCATGCGGCTCTTTGAGCCTTCCCCTGTGGCTCCCAGCCTCCTCTGCCTTTGCAGAGACAGAGAGAGGAATTGCGCTTCCCTGCTTCTCTCTCTCTCTCTCTCTCTCTCTCTCTCTCTCTCTCTCTCTCTCTCTGTGTGTGTGTGTGTGTGTGTGTGTAAAAAAGAGAGTGCACTCACAGTGTTCTCCGAGGAGCTGAAAAGCTTCTGGGCGGAGCTCCTCCCTTTGCTGCGTCTCTGAAGGAAGCAGGAAGCAGGAAGGGCAGGAGAGAGCTAGCTAGCCCAGCTAGGCTGACTCAGGAATTCTGGGAGTTGAAGTCCATGAGTCATAAAAGAGACGAGGTTGCCTACCCCGGAAGTTGTTGGACAACAGCTTGAAGCTTGCCAGGTGAGTAGCAGATAGGAGGGGGGGGGGAGAAAGAGAGAGAGAGGGAGAGAGAGAGAGGGAGAGAGAGAGAGTGGGGAAAGAGGAGTGGCAGACCAAGGGCAGATAGAGAGGGAGGGAGAGAGAGACCCTTTTGACATCTAAAATGAAGATAACACTGCATATATCCTTTTTTTAACCTATGTGTGTATATAATTTTATTCTCTTAAAGAATTCTCTTGGTGATCATTGTTTTAATAGTATGGATATTCCCAAGAGTCATATTTTTACTTTTATTTTTAATGTGTATATGTGTGTGTGTGTCTGTGTGTGTGTATATATATATACACATATACACACACACACATACACACACCTATAATAAAGGTAAAAAAGGATATATGCAGTGTTATCTTCATTTTAGATATCAAAAGGGTTTTGCGGCTCCCAGTGTTTTGTTTTTGGTGGGAAACGGGTCCAAGTGGCTCTTTGAGTGTTTTGGGTTGCCTACCCCTGGTCTAGTCCAACCTGATGAAAGGATGATTTAAATTTAGGTTGTCCCCACTATTCTAGGCATCAGATGAAAAAAGATAAATGTGGGTATTCCTTACTGTATTCCTCCCAGCTGAAGATAAATTTATGGAGAAAAATTAGCTTTGCTTTTGCTAATCTGAATACAGTATGTGTGATTTATACTTTCTTAGTCTCGTTTACCTTGCATTAAGTTTGCAGTCTTGCAGAGTAATGCTTTAAGACTTGGGAACTGGTGCCCCTACATATTTTTAAAGCAAAGAATCAGGCTACTATGGTAAAAGTACATATCGTAAGGAAGCAGATGTAAAATAATGATTCTAGTTTGCTAATTTGATTATCCTAAAAACACCATCTTTCAGTATAGACCCATTTCATATTGGTACATATATTTTCATGTAACATTTTATTTTGTAAGATATTTAGTCCTTATAACATCAGCATTATCTGTGGGGAGAATCTATACCAGAATCTGAAGCATAATTGTGCCTTACTATTTCCAAAAGGCTGTGTATTAATCTTATTATATTACTTCAGTTACTAGGAGTAAAAACAAGTATTCAGAAAAATATATTTGCAGAAGTGCTGTTTTTTCAAGGGTCCTGAAGCAAAGATAAAAATCCTGCATGAAATAACAATTTGCAGAAAGTACAATATAATTGGTCAACCTGAGTTGTTATCAAAATACCCAGTAAGTATTGTAAAATCAATAGTAAATCAAATATACTTTTCTTGTTTGTATGGCTTGTTCTGTAATTTTTATAGGCTCATGAACGATTAGAAGATTCTAAACTTGAGGCTGTGAGTGATAACAATCTGGAGCTGGTCAATGAGATTCTTGAAGACATCAGTCCATTAATAAATAAAGATGAAAATATTGCCGAATTGATTGGTATACTAAAAGAACCACACTTTCTAGTAAGTGTATTTTCTAGTCTTAACAATTAAATATATTTTTGTTCAATTGCTGTAAAACATATTAAAATAGCTTTTGTTTTAAAGACAAGACTTTATGGTTCAGATCTAAAAAATACTGTGTTAATGTTAGATTGAAGATATAACTTCAGATGTGTTTGATTTTGAACTATAAATATATTTTGATTGATTAATAACTTCAATTATCATTTCTATTTAATTTACTTCAGATTAGACTATAATTTAACTTTTTGTCTGAACTGGATCATTTCTGTTGTTTTGACTTGAAGAAAACATGCTAAAATGAGCAATCTGTAGAAAAATTCTCTGTATGATGAGTAGAGTTTATCATATTTTGCAGTTGCTATTTGCAAAATTGAGGAGTTGCCCTATTAATATTGTAGGACCCTTCTGGATTGCCAAGAAAGGGCCTTCAAATTATTCTGTGTAATTATTGGCCAATTATAGCAGAAAAAAAGATGTATTAAATGTATCATCTCATCCATTCTCTATTTGCAGTCACTCTTAGAAGCTCATGATATTGTGGCATCAAAATGTTATGAATCTCCTCCCTCTAGTCCAGAAATAAATAATGCTTCAGTGAACAATCAGATAGTACCAGTCGATGCTATTCGTATACTTGGAATTCATAAAAGAGCAGGGGAGCCTCTGGTAAGTATGACTTCTCCCCTCTTAAATATAAATATATTTGGCAGACTTGCATAATGTTTCTCATTTGTTTAATTATTAAAGTTATAAGATTGCAAAATGCTTCTTGAATAGAAACTAAAATATAAAAGTATAGTGGGAGAGACATAGTTCTTTAAAAACCTGTTTTTATATATTGAGGCAGTCCAGTGCTTTTGTGGGACTGCAAGCTTTCAGTGTGTGAGTGTATATGAAAGAACGAATAACACATTTCATTGAAAACACTAATATGCTCCCAGGAGAAGAAATGCTAAAGACTTGCTTTATCTATGCATGTTCTTCAACCAGTAAATAGAGTAGATTAAATAAATTTATGTTAATAAGTTAGATAAAGATTAAAATAGTTGTGTTCAGTAAATTGAAAATGTGAGAAATCCATGTTTGTAAGTCAATTCCTTATATGAAATACTCTTGCTTTTGGATTTCAGGATCATAACAGTGTATAAGTTTTAACAGCTCTTATGTAATGTCAACTAATAAGAAATCACGTTGTTAAGATTCTAGTTCTGAAATGGGGATAAATGTTTCAGAGATAAACTCTGATGCCCTTCAAATGTTCATTTAGGGTGTGACATTTAGGGTGGAGAATAATGACCTGGTGATTGCAAGAATCCTTCATGGAGGAATGATAGACCGACAAGGTCTCCTACATGTAGGTGATATCATTAAAGAGGTTAATGGTCATGAAGTTGGAAACAATCCAAAAGAATTGCAAGAACTCCTGAAGAGTATTAGTGGTAGTGTCACTCTGAAGATTCTTCCTAGCTACAGAGATAATATTGTTCCCCAACAGGTTAGTAGTATTGTCCTTGATTTGAAGCTATATAGTGAATGTTATTTTGTTTTCTTTCCTCAGTCTAATCAAATATGTTAACTCAGCTATGGTCATATTTAAAGGTGACAGCTGTCTGCAGTTAATATTTTGCTAAGAGCTACTTAAAACATATGTGTAAATGCACTGTAGTTACACATACTTACAGGAATTTCATTCAGAATGCAGGCACTGTAAAGCTGCAGCTGACTACAACTCAAGTGTATGAAAAATTGCATGTTACTACCATATCTATTACTATTATTAGATTTTTATTCCCCTTTTAAAATATTTTGGGCCAACTCAAGGCAGCAAACAAATCTAATGGTCTTACCTATTTCCCCTACAACAATATCCTGTGATGTGGGTTGGGCTAAGACTAGCCCAAAGCCATCCAGCTGGCTTCTGTGCGTAAGGGAGCTCTAGAACTCAGTCACCTAGTTTCTAGGCCAGTAACTTAGTCACTTACACCAGGGGTAGGCAACCTTGGCTCTTTTATGAGTTGTGGACTTCAATACCCAGAATTCCTGAACCAGCCATGCTACTCAGGAATTCTGGGAGTTGAAATCCACAAGTCATAAAAGAGCCAAGGTTGCCTACCCCTGACCTAAACCAAATGGGCTCTCTATTGAAGATGAAAGCGAAGATATTAATTTCTGAGCAACAAATTAATGCAATAATTTTGGTAAATTCTTAAAAACAATTCCTTGAGAGTAAAATTATACATTACATTCTATTGGTTTTATTTCTTTCTGGCTCTATGTATAACTCACACCCACACATCTTATTTATGTCTAGAAAGAACACTCTGTCACTCTGGGAAAAGTGGTTAAATGATAGAGGTTCCGGGCAATGATTGTATTTTGCCTGATGTGATCAAATGTAACTGCAAATGGTGCCTTTGCTGTCATGCCTTTGCTGTCATCTCTGTATGTATGTATGTGTATATATATATATATATATATATATATATATATATATATATATATATATATAAGATTTTGGGGTACCAGTAATAGTCCTTCTCTATAAGAAGGGTAAATGGGATGAGCCAGCTAACTGTAGACCAATTGGCATCTAAACAATGAACATCAGTAATGGACAGATTCTAGAAGGAATCTTAGGGGATAAATAGGGTGGCTTTGGTGATGGATAGTGAATTGTTGTCCATATTTGGATACTATGACACTTTACTCAGAAATATATGAATAATTTAAATCCATATATCTGTCATTTTTGGACTTTAGTCACTTTTGATTCCATAGTAGGGAGATTCAATGGGATAAGCTCAGTGGTGGGATTCAGCCAGTTCACATTGGTTCAGTAGAACCGGTAGCTAAATTTTGCTGCATTCAAAGAACCGGTTGGCTTCCAGAAGTCCAGTCTAGATGTTGGAAGCCTCCCAGGCCTAGAACAGCCCGCTGGAAGTGCATGGATGTCACTTCTGAAAGTCCGTTCTAGGCCTCAGAAGCCTGGAGGAGGCCTCCCAGGCCTACAACAGCCCACTGGAAGTGCATGGATGCCACTTCTGGAAGTCCATTCTAGGCCTCGGAGGCCCAGGCCTGCGTCAAATAAGAGAACTGGTTGTTTAGGTATTTGAATTCCACCACTGGATAAGCTCAAGAACACACCATGGACAGGCAGTTGCTCCAGCTGATTTTGTATTTGTATGCTGTAAGGTGTATAAGGGCTACTCACTAATGAAATATGGATGCAGCATGGTATGCATCAGAGATGTATTTTAGACCTTGCCCTGTTCATCAACTCTGATTGAAATTGTGAACAAATCAGCCATGCCCCTAAACTTGCAGGCTGCAAATAATCAGTACTGCTAAATGCAGATGATGCAGTCCCTATTTCCCACTGTGCTATTGGACATAGAAGGATGATTCTTTCTGTGAGATGGAATATAGAGGGAAACTTTAGAAAAGCTCATCTAGGCAGTCTCCAGATTATGAAAAAGGTCTGTTCCTAAGTTTGTGCTTAAAGTGAATTTATACAGTAGTTTAATCAGATACATATTTTTCTTATTTATCATCCTTTAGTCAAATTTGAATATATAAAATAGTGGAGATGTTCTGAAGCTGCACAGTGTTTTCATGAGCATACAAAGTAGTGTAAGCATTTATTATGAAGTCTTGTATTTAACATAAAATTTTAATATAATAGAGTTTATGGAAATTTATTAATAAGTGTGAATTATCTGTTTGTCAGGAGTTCTCAGCTCAGGGACCACCTGTATTTTTAAATAGCTGGGAGTGGTTTTCTACTCTTAAGAGAAATAGGATGCCCCATCATGATTACAGTTCTCTAATGATTTGAATATCCGTAACAGCCATCGTATGATTTTTCTTCACTAAAGGAGGTGGTTTAGTTTGAGCTGTTTTGAAAATTTTCCAAGTTAAAATGCCCACCTGGGGCTTTATGCTAAGAAAAATATCCTTGTGATAGCCCTATACTCACTACACCCAGATAAATTGTCAGTGCCTTCATTAAGTTAGAAGTTGTGGCCTAATTCAATCTCATTACATAAAAAGTAATTTTATCCTTTCAGAACTATGATTTTCTGAATAAACCTAAAATATTTTGATGCAATATTTGGAAAATATTACTTTGTAACTGAATTTGTGTGTTGGAACTTTCTGTAGCACCCATGCATTCACTGCTTTTTAGTCATGCTTTGTTCGGAAGCCTTTGTTTATAAAAGACAATGCAATACACTGCATGAAATAATAATAATTCTGAGAATTGACTGAAAGATACGGAATAAAATAAATTAACTTTGAACAAACATTAAACTATGTACAGAATGTCTTTAAAATTGTATTAGTAATCATTGAGATGGTTATTTCATATAAAGGCAAGTCCCTTTTTATAACACTAATCAGTTGTAACCTTTCTGTTTATTGCTTTGGGACAAAGTTTTCTTCTGTGGTAGATGGCATAATCTTCTATGCAAGCATGAATCCTGGAACTCTTAATTAAAATATTGGTTTCACTTCAGCTCACTTGACTGCTTTCTGAGAATATAAACATCTGAAAATAATTGGGATCACCAAAACACAAATTATAAGAACATAAATGATCACATGATAACTGTAATACCAGTAATTCATTTCAAGGGATTTTAACAGCTTGAACCTTTACCAGAAACTTAATTGTCTTTCAGAATTGTCCTCTGGACCCTTCATTTTGCTGAATCAAAAAAATAGTTAACTCTTAAGCATGCTTGCTAAGTATTTGTAAGTCTGTTACAACTGTTGTTCTTAAGCTATTTTTAAAATTATGTTTCAGGTATTTGTGAAGTGTCACTTTGATTATAATCCATTCAATGATAATCTCATTCCATGCAAAGAAGCTGGTCTTAAATTTTCCAAGGGAGAAATTCTTCAGATTGTAAATCGAGAAGACTCAAACTGGTGGCAGGTTAGAAACTGTTAAATCTGATACAAATTTTCAATGCATTAATCCTGCTTAAATACATATTGCATGTATTTTTTTAAATATGCTATTTTGAATCCTATGAGGAATTACTGTTAAATATAATTTCATACAAGAGAGCTAGTTTGATGTAGTGGTTAAAAATCAGTTCCAGTTCTATCCTAAAAACAAAGTCAGCTGGTGATCCTGGGCCCAGTCACTTATTCTCAGCCACAGAAAGAAAGCAATGGCAAACCTCTTCTGAAAGGCTTTGCCAAGACATCTTCAGGGACTTGGAGGAAGGAAGGGGGGGGGGGGAAGAGGGAAAAAACAGACAAAAATTCAGAACAGTTTCAAGAAAGTGGAGTAGATCCTTAGGCTATTCCTTCTATATCATCACATTATAATACTGTCTTTAAAAATATGGAGAAATTATCAGGCTGGCCTTGGAGATCATGTGCAATTCTATGCTCAGAATAACCAAATTATACAAAACAGCACACAGATGTACTGTAGTATACTTGTTAAATTGTTACAGAAGTATAGCCTATAAGGATATTAGTAGCCTTTCCCGGGCATATTGTTCAATGATGCAATCTTCGATCTCCGGGAAGAGTATACTCCAGTTATTTATTGTTAAAACAACATTTAAAACAATAAAAACAGTTATATACAAAAATTAAAACAACTTAGCTTTCGCTGGTCCTCTGCCAGCGTCCTCAGAGTGGGGCTTAGGGGGTGGGAAGTTCTTTTTATCCCCTTGCTGATCCAATTGCCTACTCATTGCCCTCATGACAGGGCCACTCTTCCTGATTGCCTGTGACTGCCTTGCCTGTTCCGCCCTCTCTTTTTTGCACTCTAACATTGTATTTTCCTGCTTTGTCATCCTTGTGCTGTCTCCCCCTCCCTGCGCTGTTATCATTAACACACTCCCCAATCCCTCCTCCTTATCCAATGCAAGGTGCCTCCTCCGACTCGGCACTACACGAATCGTGTTGGGCTGCTGATCATACCTGCATACCATTGCCGGTTCCTATTTCAACTCCCTCCTCCAACCCCCCTCCTCTCCCAGCCTGCCGATTCATGCACCCTTTGTTATCCATTCCTGTCATCCTTCCCCCCCTTCCTTCAACCCTCCCACCTGTTGATTAACATATTGTTCCTGCCTTTCATCGACCATTCTATTGATGTTCTCTTCCTCAATATCTTTTCCTTCCTGATCCGCTGCTCTATCTGCTGTTCCTGTTTGCCCTCCTCCCCCACTGTCCATCTTCCCCTCTCCAATGTCCTCCCCATCATCTGCTGACTTGCCTGTTGTTCATCCATTTCTATCCATCCTCTCTTTTCTAGCATTCCTCCTCCTCTGACCTGCCGTCCTACATGCTGTTCCCACATGCCAACATCCATTCCTGTTAAACCCTCCTTCTCAAGCTTTCCTCCCCCCCAATCTGCCATCCTGCCTGCTATTCTTATCTGCCCTTCTCCTTTCCTGTCAGTCCCCCCCTCTCGTTTCCTCCCCCCCTCTCCAATCCACTGCTCTGTTTGCTGTTACTTCTAGCATTCTTCCTTCCCTTACTTGCTGTCCTACGTACTGTTCCCATCTACCAACCTGCGTTCCTGTTGGACTCTCCTTCCCAAACTTTCCCCCCCCCCCAAACCTATATGTATGTAGGTAGGTAGGTAGGTCGGTCGGTCTTTGGTTATTCGGGTTTTCTCCCGCGTAAAATTGGAAGTGTCTTGGCAACACTTGGAACACGGCCAAGCCCCTAACCAATCAGAACACACCTCCACCTAATCAGAACACAGCCAAGCTCCCATCCAATCAGTTCATACCCCCACTAGCAGTTAAAAAGAAGAAACAGCTACGATCACACATTGCTCCTAGAAGCAAGAAGCCGAAAACACCAGCCTGAAGATGATGAATGGACGTCAAAACTTCGCCAAGATATTTCCAATTTTACGCGGGAGAAAACCTGAATAACCAAAGACCTACATACAAACACCCGCAAAAACCTCAGAAAACAAATACACACACACACAAACACACACACACATACATGCATAAAATGCAAAAATATGGGTCTTAGATGTGTTGGTGTGAGAGAGCAAATATGAGATAGGCTTATCTAAAGTATATATTTACAGAAGGAAATATTCTCATTAACTTAGTTCTGTGACTAAGTTAATGCTTTTGAATTTGTTCTTGGCTGTCATCTAGCATCTGTTATAAGAAAAGAATGGCTAGATTATTTATGTGGACACATTCCTAAAATTTTGTCCAGTGCATTCCAACACAGCTAGCCTTGAGTTTTCGCTATGAGAGAGACTGTTAGTTTTGATATTTCAGGAGGAATACAAATGGAAGAGAAAATTTGCATAGAATTCAACTAAACATTTGGAAAAGGGGTACCATTCCTTTATTTATATTTCCGCTTATATCGTTATATATAAAAAGTAAGTCTGTCTCCTCAGGATATATTTGGCTTTTACAAATTGAGTGTTCTATATTATTTAGGTGGTCTGCATTATGTAATCCTTATTTTTAGGCATAGATGGCCATGAGATGGGATCAAATGACAGAAGGTGTGTTATGACGTCCATGAGGTGTATCCCTTTGATGTCATTGGTATCTAAAGACTGTGCACATTGGTATCTAAAAACTGGGTACAAATCTTTGGAACATATAAGAAATCCTGAATTAAAGTGCACATCCATTCATTCAACTGATTTAATGAATGTAAAAGGCAGGAATGGGATTATTTTTTTTTTAAATGCATATTTAACATGTACTCTTTTAGGACTTCACTTAAAATATTTACTGAAAAATGAGCTTTGATTGTTGAAAGGTAGGTGAAAATTTTTTTAGAACATTTAACTGTTCTTATACTTTCATTTTATGTTCCAGATATCTGTTGTCTACTAATGTATTACAGTGCTTTGCATCCAACTTGTTTATATGAATATAAAAATCTGAACATTAAATAGCTTTTGGATACATTACAACTTATAATATAAAAATCAATTTTGTTGCATGATTAATTTTATTTCAGGCCAGCCATGTCAAAGAAGGAGGAAGTGCAGGACTTATTCCTAGCCAGTTCTTAGAAGAAAAGAGAAAAGCATTTGTTAGACGGGACTGGGAAAATTCAAGTAAGGAACATAAAAATATAATTTTATTATGTTCTTTCTTCCAAGTTCCATGTGAATATTGTGAATAATGGAATGCATTTAATAGCGTTCATAATTACAAATTAAGAATCAAAATAATTTGCTTTCTTTCTAATTTCTGAATCTTTTCTGCCATCTGCTGGTACTTAGACAAAATTAAATAGGGAGCATTATAACCATAAGTCTAAATAATTTATTATAGCTATATAAACAAATTTAGAAGTTACAAGCAGTTAGGGTGATACGGCTTTCAATGGAGTACATTAAGACTTTGTTTCAAACTAAATATAACAAATCATAATTTCAGAAATATCTCATTTGTTTTTAGGTCCTTTCTGTGGGACAATAAATAGTAAAAAGAAGAAAAAAATGATGTATCTCACAACTAGAAATGCAGGTTTGTGAATTTCAGCATTACTAGAATACAGAAAAATAATTTAGCAAGAACATTTAGAAAGTTATTTATATTTGTTTAGCTTAACAACTATTGTAAAAAAAGTTATTAAAAATTGGGAGGGTTCACATGCTGACCACACAACAGCTAATACGACATAAAACCATAATTATGGTCATATATCAAGGATTACTTATATCTTTGGTTCTCTATTGGCTATATGTACAAATCCAGAAAGTAATTCCAAATCAATTGATCTTTTCCGAGTTTTCCTACATGTAGACAATTTGATATTCCTTGTCATTGTATTAAAAAAATGTATATTTAACTATTTTGCTAATTTATTTTATAATTAAAATTATCTTTGAACTCATGGGTAATTTAGCTTGTCATATTTAATACTAAAGTGAAATGGGGCATATTAATGATTTATTTTACTACCATATTAAAATAATTTAGGGGCCCTGTATTCCTGATTATATCTAACTTTCTCAGAAGTAATTGGGAACAAAGGGCTTTTATACAGCACTATTTTTAAAAAAATAAAATAGCAATGCAGTAGTAGAAGTCCTACTACAGGAAAACATTTTTACTTCTTTGACAAGGAGTAACTGCAGCTGTTGTATATTACATCATTCATATAATTAGCAATGTTACTCTGTTGATCCTCTATATTCATAGTATATTCATCATTTGAAAACTACTGTATGAAATCAGAGACAGAATCTGAAGGTCCAGGGCATATGACCTTTCACCCAGTGCTTTCCCAAAATTATCAAATCATAATTTTAATCTGTCTAATATTAATGTGTAATATGTAATTAATTTTAATTAAGCTTAAATTTACATTAAATCAACTGTAGTGGCCCAGTCCTATCAACTTTTTGGAGAGAGCTTTCTATTACGACTTTCAGTGGCTACATTGGATACTGCCCCCTCCTGAAAATACATATATAGATAAATACATACATATGTGTGTGTGTGTGTACTATCTACAGTGCTGGAAATAATAAAAATGGGTTTAAAGGTATCACCTTTAAACCTTACATAGCACAGGCTACATTACCTGCAGCACTGTCTCTCCTTGAAATAATCTATCCTTCCGTACTAAATAGGGTAAGTGCATTGCAGATCCCTTCCCTTAAATGTCAAAGGCGCGCATTCCTAGTGGTTAACCCAACCCTTTGGACAGTCTCCCATCTGAGATTCAAGAAATCGCAAATTGATTGGGTTGAGAATAACTGTCCCAAAGTCACCCAATGAGCTGCGTGGCTTATTGGTGGATTGCAATATTTAGAGTTGTGAAATTTATATAATGTTCACATTGCCTTGATTTTAACATGTTTTTTTACATCTAGAATTTGATCGACATGAAATTCAGATATATGAGGAAGTAGCAAAAATGCCTCCATTTCAAAGAAAAACACTGGTCTTAATAGGAGCCCAAGGAGTTGGTCGAAGAAGTCTGAAAAACAGATTTATTGTATTGAATCCCACAAAATTTGGAACCACAGTACCGTGTAAGTTTTTATAACACTCCGTTTGTTTGCTTATTTTACATAGATTCATTAAACATATTTCTTTGATTCCTGGATTTCTGAATCTCAGGTAGACATTATGAAATAAGGTAGTAGACTATAAGTTAAAATCATCCATCCACTGCGGGATGAAGGCCTCTTCTGCAGGTTTCCAGCCAATACGTGACGGCATCAGCAAGTATTGCAGGCCCAATTGAGAAAAGAAAGCTCAGGACCATATTGGTTGGAAACTACAAGTTAAAATATTACGAATAAATGCATTTGAAATTGTGTAAGTAGTTCATTTTTTCTAATATTTTTCTAATATTCAAATATTGTTTTATATATTTGGCAATAAAATAGTATAAGCAAACATGTGGGCAGTTGTGCCTGAAAGCATATTCACCTGGGAATAAGCCCTGTTATAAGTACTTCTGAGCACACTGGGATGCATTACATAAGGAATTCTACAGATAGACATTTAAACTATTTGCATGCAAGTTTACCATATATGCCAGCGTACAAGGCGACCCGGCATATAAGACGACCCCCATCTTTATCGCCGAGCCGCATTCCTAGAACGTCGTCTTATACGCTGGAAACTACCAGTATTTCTGGCGTATAAGAGCCGCATTCCTAGAACATCGTCTTATACGCTGGAAACTACCAGTATTTCCGGCGTATAAGACGACTCGGCGTATAAGACGACCCTCGTCTTTGGCGCCGATTTCAGTGCTCGCGGAAGTTGCCTTATACGCCAGCATATACGGTATTTAAACATTTTAAATGTTTTTTTTTTTCAAATACAGATGAGAGGGGCAGGAACTGCATGAACTCAAAATGAAAATAAAAATGCAAATTAAAAAAGTGCTGCAGATTAAAAGTCTGATTTCTGAAACTTTCATGTGACTCTTGCAGCTCCCAATTCTTCTCTCAGGTTTATGCCTCAGGGTTGGAATGTTTCCCGAAACATAGGAATTATTTTATGAGCCATAACAGGAAACCATTCTTGGGTTGAAGAGCCTTTCTACTTGTACAGGATATCTACTGTATTCAGATCCTCATATCTTTTTCTAAGAAGTTCTTACATAAAAGCACACCTGTCTGTATCTTTTGTGTATTGTTGTTTTGCTCATGTGTCAATTTATTTAGTTACATCACGGAAATCAAGGGATGATGAGAAAGATGGGCAAGCATACCGGTTTGTGTCACGAAGTGAAATGGAGGCAGATATTAAAGCAGGAAGATATTTAGAACACGGGGAATATGAAGGAAATCTTTATGGTACCAAAATAGATTCTATCATTGAAGTGGTTCAGACTGGAAGAACATGTATCTTGGATGTGAATCCGCAGGTATGCTGGTGTAACATTTTGATATCCAAGTGTCAGTCGAAAAACGTTGCACCTGATCAAATTGGAGAAACTTTTAAGAGTTGGATTTTCTTTAATTACATTAATTTGAATAGTAAGCAGATTTCACAAGAGGACTAGGCTTTCGTTTTCAACAGGAGGTGGGGACTACATCATGCCTTGAGGTTGCCAATGATGGCCAGAGAGAGCAGCAATGGACTTTTTCCTATTTTAGCATGTTTTAAATGCTATTTTCACAAGGTTTAAGTGCCCATTATGACTCTTAATCTTCCCCAAGACAGTACAAGTGAAAAAAATAATCTTAAAAAAAAAAAAAAAAACAGTCTCGCCTACTTGAAGAAATTTGCAAGTGTGGATTCCCCAGTTGTCTCTAGAGGGGAGCTAGAACCTTACATATCTGAAAGAAATTCTCCCATGACTTTACGTGTAGAATTTTTATTGTTCTTTTGAAATGCAAAGTGGCTTATAAAGTCGAAGACCATCTGGATTGGCATTTATAACATCATAATGATTATTCTTGATCCTACATTCCCTACCATTACTGCATTTTCCCCCCACCTTCTTGGGTCAATATTTGCTACTGCCTCCTATTAGTGGAGATTATAGTTGTAAAAGCAATAGGTGGATAAAAAATAAGCCTCCATTTCTTTTATTTTTTGAGGTTGACTTCAGGTGACTACATGAAGAAGTCCATGTAATTTGCTTCGCAACTTGTCAAAAGGGATTCACCATTGTTTTCTATAGCTTAGGAAAGGTGACTTGCCCCAAAGTCACCCAGTTGGCTTCCATGCCAGGACAAGAATATTTTTTTCTCTTCTTAGTCTAGTGCCTTAATCACTAGACCAAACTAGTTCTCTTAATCTTTGGAAAATTAGAGATTTAAAGTTAATTCAGTGGGGAATGGGCAGAAAGTTTCTTTGCTTGGAAACTGTATATCTATAGTGGAAAATTGACAAAGAACTCAATTATAATAATTAAAAGGTTGGAGAAGGGAAATTAATTTTAATTTAATCCTGCCCTGCCTTCACTCAGTTTTGGTAGTAGTTCCCCCCAATCTGCCCTTAAATATCCTACAAAATTTGATATCGCTCTGAACCCAAATTAGGATGTGCAAATTATTGGTTTAGTGGAAATCTGCTTTGTCAATCCATTCCAAAATGAGGCTTTATTGATGAGGGGGAGGGGTGCCTATCAATCAGTGTTGACTCCTGTGACTATCTGGACAGGTTCCTGCATTTTTGGGCAAAATTTCAGAAATGGCTTGCCATTGTCTCCTTCACAGGGCTGAGAGAGAATGACTTGCTTTGTGCCTAAGATGGGACTAGAACTTCTTATCTTTAAGTTTCTAGCCTGATATTTTAACCACTCAACTAAACTAGCTATGTTGCATTCTTTTTGATATAAAACTTTCTTTTTTATCAAGACTTTGCCTGGAATAATTCTTACCTAGTCTTCCTCATATTTTATTTATTTGTTGCATTTTTAATTCTTCAGTATGTTGTGTGGCAAGTCACTTTTTATTTACATTTACTTATTTTGCTTTTTTTAAAATTAATACTGAAATATTTCTAATACTATTTTCACTATTGAAATGTGCACAGAAATATTTGATATGTAACTAGAATATGGTAACAGTGACATGATATATAGTGTGTGTTGTTAGATTATAGAAGTATAACTAAAGAAAATTATCATTAGGTACTAATCATTTTGAGAAATATAAAACTGAATTGAAATATACTGAAATTAGATTTAGAAGTCACTTGTCTGTAATTTTTGAGCAGCTTACAGTTCAAGAAAACAGTACAGAGAAAATTTCTGCCAACCATATTCTGTATTTCACCACCTTTACTACTACTACTAATATCCTGGGAGAATTGCCATGTTTGTAAGACTTCCAGAACATCATCAGGGCACATGGATCTCTTGGGGCATGTAATTTAAGAGGCTGAATGCACTGACTCAGAAAGCACGCGTCCTAATAGATGGCATTGATTGAAAGTACTGAAACATGTTGTCTATAAATAGTGAAAAATACATGTTATCCCCTGTGCTATCATGAAAATCTGCATAATGTTAAAAGTGCTTACACCGACACTGCCTATTATCCAAAAAATTGAGTGCATAACTTAATTCTTTTCTTTACAGGCACTTAAAGTGTTGCGGACATCAGAGTTTATGCCCTATGTAGTTTTTATTGCTGCTCCAGAACTCGAAACCCTGCGTGCAATGCATAAAGCTGTGGTTGATGCAGGAATTACAACCAAGCTTCTAACAGTAAGGGAAATTATCTTTTTTTAAGACTAGTTTGTTTTATCAATATGATTAAAGCTACACCTAATATATGATGGCAATTCAGAAATAAACCTCCATTTGGTTATCAATGACAGACACTCGCAGATACGGAACCTTTATTATACACATTAGAAAACTACAACATTACATTACTTTTTGACATAATCGCCATTCAGATTGAGGCACTTGTCATAACGTCTTACAAGTTTTGAAATTCCTTAGTAGTAATTGCTCGATACCAAATCTGAGTTAGAGTGGGGGTGATCAAAAACATCCCAACAGAACTGCTTCAAAAGTTTCTGGGTGCATCTAGTGATGTGCAGGCGAACATCGTTACTGTATGAATCAACACCATACCGGAAGTCAGCATGCCCCGATGCTTCTTATGGATGGCTTGTCTGAGTTTTTGTAACGTTTCACAGTAGACTTCTGAATTGATCACCGAACCATGCTCTATGAACTTCTCTAGCAGTATTCCTTTGGTATCTTCACATTTGGTGGGATTTTCTATGGTACCACTTCTGGTATGATGTTGGTTCACGTTACTACTTGCCTGCACACCGCTAGATGCGCCCAATAACTTTTGAAGCAGTTCCATTGGGATGTTTTTGATCACTCCCCCATAGCCCAGATTTGGTGCCAAGTGACTACTACTAAGGAATTTCAAACCTTGTAAGATGTTATTACAAGTGCCTCAATCTGAATGGCGATTATGTTGAAAAGTAATGTAATGTAGTTTTCTAATGTGTATAATAGACATTCTGTATCTGCAAACGTCTGTCATTGAAAACCAAATGAAGGTTTATTTCCAAATTGCCCTCATAGTATGAGCCATCTTCAGATTCCTTTTCCTTTTTTGCTTGCTTGGCCATTTGTAGTTCTTGGAGTTTTACTAAACTTTCTAGGCATGCTTGTTGCAGATTTTTATTTCATTCTGTTATAGCTGCCTCATCGGTTCCAGAAAACTTGGCAGATTAATAATTTGTTGATAACCTGTATTGTCATTTTTTTACTGTGGGCACACTGACACGTTAAAAATGAAATTGTTTCTTCCTCTCAAAAGTGTACACGTACATAACACATCTATAAACACGCTATATACAATATATGTATATACACCTACACCCTTATATATAAATGTGAGGCAAAGAATGTCTTTGATTTTAAAATGTATTATGGAGCAAGAAGCTCTTTTAATTCAAATAATATTCCTAATCTAGTTTCTTAACTGAAAAGTCAGACATACCTCTAGGTACTGTAAACATGTATTGTTCTGTCGCTTATAACATGACTCCTGCACTTAAATATATGATGCTGTATTTATCCATTTAAAATCGCCAGAATGGTATGAATTAAAATAATAGTTTGGATTCAATTGTGTTAGAAATATAGAAATCAGTGGGATTGGTAAAAAGCTAGTAAGGATAATTTCAAATATCAAATATAATTCTGAATATAATTAAATCTAAATTTAGCCTAAAAGGTGTGTGAAGCTCTACAGAAAGAAAGTGGAAAATAATTTCATAAGTAAATTATTAGGCAAAATAGCCAGAGAGGTCAGTGTCACAGAAGGTAGTCTTTAAGGCAGCCTGGTCCTCAGTTGCTAGAGCTTTATAAATAAATACCTGCATATTAAAATGGACCAGAAAAATGTTCATTGACCATGTTCATGTGGTTAATATGGTCCATACAACTTGATCTAGCACAAAATATAGCTGCTTCGTTATTAATTAAAATACTTGAAAACTTTTCTGATGAAATCCAGTATTGCAATAAACTAATATTGAAACATTTATTTCTAAAGTAAGATTTCAAAGTATACAAATTATGTGCATGTTTAAAGAGTTGTACATAACTATAAAAATCCCAAGAGCTAGACTACAACCTAATTAAAAACATCTGTACCTAAATAACTGAAAATTTGCATTTTCAGATTCCTGTATCATATTTTTAGGAATTAAAATTTTACACATTTTTCTAAAAAAACTGGTCTTGCTGATCTCGAAGATTTTTTTTTAATGCAGGCTCTCAATTTTAAATCTGACCCCCGTCGCTTGCTTTTTATAGTATTTTATTTTTATTTTGTCAATATTTTAATAGGATACTGATCTGAAGAAAACTGTTGATGAAAGTGCACGGATCCAGAGAGCTTATAGTCACTACTTTGATCTGATTATTGTGAATGACAACCTAGACAAAGCTTTTGAGAAGTTGCAAACTGCTACAGAGAAATTGAGGATGGAATCACAGTGGGTCCCGATTAGCTGGGTATACTGACAGTTCTTTTGAAGATGAAACAAACACCATATTATGTTAGTTGAAACAAACACTAATAAGAAAATATTGTACAGTGGTGCCAGATACTTGGCAGGACCCAATATGTTTTTATTTTATGTATATTAAAATAATAGTATGCTAGTTAAATTTTTTATACAAAATGTTGAAGGGAAAGTGTACTTAATATGTAATTTATTTTAATTTTTCTAACTTTTTACAAATAACCTTTTTATTCATATCACATGAAGGAAATGCGTTGAAGCATTTTAATAAATGTTTTGATTTACTATTTTGCCTTTATTCATCTAAAGAATTTTCCAGTCATTCATTTATACATTTGATCTTACATTTTCACTGTGATAAGGAGACAAATACTTGAAAAGGTTTTTGTAAAACTCTGTTTTAAATCAAATGTTTCATCTGATTAGTTTTTATTATTTAGATATAATCCTTGTCCTAACAGGCATACATCCTTGACATAAGCAAAAGTTTCAATAAAACAACCAGCACTGAGCCATGTTACTCAGACATATTTGCTTAATGTTTATCCATGTTTTGCAGCTGTTTTGTCTTAGGCAGATGTACTGTAGACTTTTATGTAGATTCCCTTTTTACATAGATGTAAAAGCAATATCTTAAACTTTCCCTAAGAGTCCATTTTAAAAAGCCAACATTTCAACCCATTCAGTAAGTATTTTTCAAAGACTTTTCGTAATGTAAATTCATTGTGTTTGAGGTAATGGTGAAGTAGCCTTAAAGAACCTCGTGCTACAGAGTCTTAGTAAAGAACTCAGCATGTAGAATGTATGTTCTTAGTTGTGGAAAACTCATGGCTTAGAGGAACAAAATCTGCTTTTTATTATGACCTCGCTCTGTACTTGTATATTGTTCTGTGACTGGCTTTTAGTTTATACCAGAGTATTTATGAGTGATTGTGTGTTATAAAATGTAACGTGATGGGGCTTTGAGCTGATACTTTGTGTTACATGGCTTTATTCACCAAAAGTGTGTGAAACTAAAATTGTCAGATGCTAAAATTCAGTATTATTTATCAAAGAATTTATTTTTGTTTCACACTCATATTTTACAGTGTTAGTTAATAACTTCCTTTAGTTAGTTTATTATCTTAGGTTCATATTTACTGATTTACTAATAAATACATTTCCAATACATATTCTATTGAGAGGATGTAGATATGGATGATTACAAAGAGGGAATAATCTGATAATATTTGATATTATGTCTGCTATTATAAATAGAGCCATCCATTGCTAACATACAGAGGGCCTGAGGTGGTTATCACCTCCCCATTTCATTTATTTTGCATATGAGTTTGGGCACTACGATTACAGAGCTTATTTTCAATACCAAAGTATCATACACAAGATGCCAACAATGAAAAAATATTGGAAAAGGCCAAGACAGTATAAACTAGCTTTTAATTATTTTGGCTTATAAGATGCACAAGGAAACAGGGTTTCAATAGTTTTTAGTTTATATAGAGAAATGTTGACACCAAAAAAGTATTGTAGATTAAAAAACCTTTGTGGTATTTTTTTAAAGACTTAAGCATATTTTGTAAAAGTTATGCAAATAATTGCATATCTGTGTCTTAATTGCTATTGGTATTTAGAAATTAGCTTCTAACAATATGAAATAGAGAAATTTATTTCTGTTGCATTAATTCTGTAGATAGGCTGATATTAAGTATTTAAAAAAAATATGTATACCTGAGTCTGGAAAAAAAATTGCTGGTACCCAAAATGACATTTTATTCTGTAATTTCAATGTCATTGCAGGGGTATGATGTGGGTTACAATGTAAAAATGACTATACTTTTATTGAAATAATGTTGTTTGAATGGAGATTGAGTGGAAGACATTGCTGAATTCTCAAGTCGAAGAATTGCTTCTCATTCCTTTGTTTTCTAATACTACATTAGATAGCATTCCAGTTTGTTTGTTGCTACTGCTCTTTGCTAGATGAGAGTTTGGGCTGCATTTTAAGTAGCCTTGATTAAAGTTCTGTTCAGATTTTACCTGAACTGTTTTTTAAAAAAAATAAAATGTTCTCAAGCAGGATATTCAGTCTATTCCCATCTTGTTTTGTTTCTAGCCATTGATTTTTATTATCCACTTTGGTTGGAAAGCAGGTTTTTCAAATTGGGCTTAGTTCAAGGAAAGTTTAGCAAGTGATTAAAGGAGTTTGATTTTGGTTTTAAGGCTCAAAAGCTCACTGCTGTCAAACAGGAAGAAGAAAAAGAGAACATCAGTATTTGCCTTAATGGCTTTCTAAAGAAATTGTTAACAGTCGGGAACTGGTCCAGAAATATTTTATATTTTCTCTGGGCATGCTGGTACTCCTATATCATCTTGGGAGAACTGCTCATATCACAGAATTCACTCTTGGCATTAGTGTGGAAATTTAAACCACAAGTCCTCAATGTAACAGGAAAAGTTAGTTCGCTACATGCATAAGAATTACTGCATTTGATATAAACTATAGTACACCTCTATTCTCAGTGGCAGAATATCATGGGCCATTCACTATTTTTGCTGCATGGGTGTAATCCCAGCTATGAAGAAATTAAAACTTTAAATACAGAAACCCATGAATTTATCCTCCCACTGAATGGCAGCAATGGAGAAGTATGCAACAGGCAAAATGCTTCCAAGGACAGTACCACGATGCTACAGTTGGTAAATGAGGTACAGAATGGATTAATTGGGAAGGTGTAAATCAGAGGCAGAACATTTTAAGTGTCCTAATTTCAGTTCTTGGCATCTTTGTCTGAAACTGAGTTACTGTCAATTCAGTTGAATATAAAAATGGAAAAAGTGTCTATGCTTAACATGAGTATGTGAAATGGAAAGACAATATTGCTTGCTGACATTAGGGTACGTACTTATCTGTACCAAAGTAAATATATATTGAAATATGTTAAGTGTATAGGTATGCCTGTGTAATAATAGTAGAAAACAATGGTTTATGCAATTGCCTATAATAGATGTTAACATGGATTAGTAAATACTGTTCATTATTCTATTCTATAATTTTAACAAAAATTATGGAATGGAAAAAAATCAATAAAAGTGGATGGCAGTTATTAAAACATTACTTACCTATTAAGGCAATCCATAATTGTATCTGTTGAAGCTTTTTTAAAAAATAATAATTTTCCATAAATAGTTTATACATTATGGTAACTTTAAGATTATACCTAAACTACAATAGGTCATACTGAATTCACGGGAACTATTAAGTTCATGGAATATATAATTATTATATATTTATTTAAACTTTTCATTTATCTTAAATTTATAATAAAATGTAGTATATTTTAATCAAGTTGAGTCTGACCAAAATCAAAGCTCATTTTAGTTTTTAATATAAATGCTTATTTCTATTTAGCCAGTAATTTGATCTTCAAACAGTGAAGCTGCTATTGTTTTAAACTATTTTTGGCCTTCAACATTTGTAAATACAAATGTAACAATCAATTTAGTGTCAGAAACACAGTTGTCATAATAAAGGAAAATTATAAAAAGAACTTTGAATAAGAGCTAAAAAGAGAGACATTTTAAATCAGGGACTTCCAACCTCGAGGCTGCGGTCCACTACGAGGTCACAGGCCATTTAGAATTGAGCTGTAGAAGCGGCAGGCAAGCACATGTGCATGTTCAGCTCCACTTGTGCGTGCAGCAGGCAGACAAGCATGCATGCACAACTCCATTGTGCAAGTAGCAGACGGATATGCCTGCTGCATGCACAAATGGAGCTGCTTGCTTGCCCACTGTTCGCATGGAACCATCTTTTCTCCCCTCCCCGCCAGCCCACAAAACTGGCAAGATTGGAGACCACTGTTTTAAATAACAGTTCATGCTGGTGCCTCAGAAAAAACTCTATCTCTCTATTCAACCTGCTAGTATCACAGATAAGCAGCGAGTTTAAAATAATTATGTACAAAATATTTGAGTAATTTTTTGTAGTTAAGAGATTTTGAAAAAAAATGCTCAAAAATAATAGCAATAATTTAACTGCTACCACAAAGTCTGGTAAATCCTATCAATAATAATAAGATCTCAAGTTTGGGATGCCTAAAAACAATGAGATATTGTTTTAGCATTTTGTGGAATCAGCAGCAACGGCTGTTTTTGAGAATGATGCAGAATTTTGAATGCAAACTATTGTGTTCAAGTCTGCATACAATACCTATAGAATGGATTGCGGTTAGGTATGTATGTTTGGAATAAAAATGTATAAAATGCAGACTTTTTTGAAATATTTGTCTGAAATTCATTTAATTTCAAATCCTGAGTAATTTTTTTTATCTACTCAGAATCAAATATAGTCTGCATCAACTGCACATTATTATTATTTTGCTTCGTTTTGTCTTGATTCAATTGTCAGGAGTTCCCATAACAAATCTTAGAAACATTCAGAGAAAATAAAGCTATCCTTAAACTCTCTCAAAAACTGCTTTCATCATGTCATATTGAATTTTTGTTCCTGATGTAAAGTGCTTTGGATTAGTTTTTCAACTAAAGTTCAATGTGACTGGAACTATGTATTGGATAATCCTTTCTCTACAGTATAGAAATGGCAACTTCCATGAGAATCAAAACTCCAGGCAACAAACTAATGATGAGATTCAAAATGACTCTTGCATATTAATTTCATTACATGGTATAGGTCCTCAACTTGCGACCAGTTGCTTAGCAACAAAAGTTACAATACCCCCCCACACACACAAAAGTAATTGGTTGGATATGAAGTTCTGATGACCCCCCCCAACAGACACATGATCACACTTTAGATAACAATTGTTCCATAAATATGCATTTGCCATGTGACAGCAATTGACATTTTTTGCTGGGACCTGGTGTTTACTTCTGGCTTCCAGGAAAAAAAAAACATCCATTAGGGACAATGTGTTAATAACCACTGGTAAAAAGGTCATACTGGACGTGGACCAGTGATTGTGTGCTTAAAATCCAGCATGATTAACAATGGTAATTCCAGGTTCCATTATGATGGCAAGTTGAGGAGTACCTGTATTTTAAAAGTGTAGATTGCTCATTTATCTTATTTCTTTAAACCTCTCTGCCTTCTATGAGCTTTCTTGGCAGAACTGAATCACTTCGAGGCTTCTTGCTGCTAAAACAATTGTCCACTGACCAAGTATGATAGCTGAGAATCATGTCCAGTCATGTTAGTTGTGCCCTTCCAATATGAGGGTAAGAGAAATAGCTGATTAAGGGTTAAGGTGCATATATGGTGTACTTTTTTAAAAAATGCAATGTGTTAGTAGAGAAAGAGTGTTTTAATTTGGAAACTTTATTAAAATAATGTATCTTGTATGCACTGACATACACAAATGTGTATTCTGTCGAGATCTACAATTTTTTGCGAATTGTTATTTGGGGGCTATTTTGTATTTCTAAGATTAGATTATAGAAAATCATCATTAGTTACATTCCAAAATAATGAATTCTATTAGGCTTATGCAGTATAATTTTTATTGCTTCGACTTTTAACATTTCTATTAAAACAGTTGATAACTTTTTTCAAACATGTGTACTAATATTGACACACATAGGACAATAGAAGATTTAAATGGGGCTTGACTAATAGCAAATTTTAATGTCTTTCCATGCTGTAAATCAGAAGAAAATTGCCACATAGATCAGATTAGAAAATTCTGAAAAAGGATCATAAGAAAAGTGGGGAAATTTCATAGGACAAATGTGTGCTATTCAGATAAACAATGTTTTTTAAAGAAATTTCCCTAATGTTTCCCCATTTAAGTTGCATACCATTGTTGAAATGTATAAAACTGTGAAATCCTGAAAACGCCTAAGAAAGTTATTTTTGTATATATGAAATAAAATTTAAGATTTGAAAATTTAGTGTCATCTCTTATGAAATACATTCTCATGCACAGAGCTGGCATCGGAAAAGGAAGCTGGAAAGAGGAAATAGAGTAGGCCTTGCAATAGATGTTACAATTTTATACTGAATGATTAAAAAAACTTTACCAATATGAAAAAATAACAAGTCATATTTTTGCACTGCATATGCATAATTAAAACAATGAAAAACTATCATTCCAAGAATACCTTATAATAGCATTTAATAAGTGCTATGGATATAATATCCAAAAATCTATAATTTCCATTGGTTTGAAGCCATATAGCTTTGCTAACATTGAACAGATTGGATGAAACTGAATGAGTTTTATATACCATTGTGAATACCTAAAAAACTTAAGACTACATTTTACTTAACATATCTTTCCCCCGCCCCCATCCAAACGGACAGCTCTGGGGTCTGCAGTTTTGGTACACTTCACATTAATCAAATAGAATTTTAAAAAATGCCTTTCTAAGAAGAGAGATTAAAAATATGGCCGCTAAAATGTATGCTGATGTTCCCAGCTTCCCTCCCATGCCATAAAAAAAAAAACATTTGGAAACTTGCCATATCCTTTGTGATCTTTGGCTCAAATCTAAATAATGGCTCCAAAGTCAAGCCCAACATTTCAGATCATGCTTTAAATTTATTCCTGTGCTGCTTAGATTTTTAACTTTGATTGCTTAAATGGCCCTTTCAACTATCTTTCTGTTTCATGATGGTCTTTGCTCTGAAAACTCTGTTGCCACATAATGACGTTCAATTAGAATATCCTCTAGCTTATAAAGAAAACAAGATTAATATTAAAGCACAATAACTAATATAAGTAACCCCTTAACAGCTCGAATTGAGACTGAAAACTCCAGTGCTAAATGAAGTGGTTGCTAAGTGGACCTTGCTGTCTTGTATGCATCAAAAGCAATGCAACTGTGTTACAATCTAGGATTAGAGCCATTCTCTTGAAATCCCTTTCTCTCCAATCCTTCCATTCAGATGGAAGTGGGGGGAAGAAAAAATGTAATTTCTGCAGGCAATTTCTTCTTTGCCTGATTCTTCCCTGCTGCCAGTGCTATCACAATGCTTGCTTTTGATATGTAGAACAGCAAAAGGCTTGCTTTGTTGAAATCTTTCTCCCCAATCTCTATGGGGGAGGGGGGCTGTGAAAGGGGAAAAAAGACAGTACATACTGACTAATGAAATTCATATGGCTGAGGAATGCTGTGAAGGTAGTGAATGGCCGTAAATGAGCCATAAAATTACTTTTTTCAGCACTGTTATATCTTTGAATGGTTGTTGAATAAATGGCCTAAAAGTAAGGACATGTAATCTTTCTAAACTTTAAAGTAATACAGGAATGTTAAACATCTCACCAAAAATCCTTGCATGGCTTTTTTTATATCTGGATCTTTTCATTCATATAATTTAGGCATTCACCTTGCTCCAATAACACAGCCCATTGGCACATATTTCAATTGCATGGACACAAATCTAGTGGGTTCATCACTAAGAGGCATTAAACAGAGACAGTTGTAGTATTAAACTATTCTAACAGCTTCATCATATGTCTTTTTCATAGCCTAATGCATAGAGGCCATTCAATGCTATATATAAAACAATTGGGGAAAAATGGGATTTTTTCATGGTTGCAGCTTTGATGGAAGAGTCTATCATTTCAAGGTTAATGTTTGATAAAGCAAATAGCTTCTGTGCTATCCGAAACCTTCTTGGGTCAGCAAGTGGAGCCAGTATGGGATCCCCAAGTGTCAATGTACCATCTTCTGAGATCATATTAGGCTGCTCAGAGACAGAAAGGCATTGATTAAAAGCATTTCCACAATAGTATAATTTTCAATACTGAAGTACATTACATTATATAATCCAATTTATATCATTACATAGGTGTGCATCTGCATGTTTGAGGGCTGGCTAAATCCTGATTCAGATTTGGGAACTGAAGAGGCATAATTTGAGAACAGATTCAAATGAACCTACTTTGTGGTTCCATTTAGCGGAAATGCTTATAGGTTATCTAAATGCCTCTAGGTTATTCATTTTTTGCAGTATGATATGAAATGGAATGTAGAACTCCTAGAGAACAATCCTGCCAAGGTTCAGCTAGGTATCTCTAAGTTTCATCATAATGGCTTTTGAAATAGAGGAAAGAACAGTCCCTCAGTCTCCAAATTGTCTAGCAAAAAGCCTAGTATCTCAACTAGTATTTCTAGTAAAGCAGTGAAGCAATGCTAAAAATGTCCAGGATCTTTAAAATGTTCATAAACAGCCAGTAAAGCAAGTACTTATTTTTTTGTGTTGCTTTCCGTGAGCGTCCAGGCTTGGTATGATAATGATACTGAGAAATGACCACAGATCTATCTTTGTGATAATGTTTCCTGCCTCTGATTGCCAAGTTCTCTGGGGTGCCAGGAAGATTGACACTACTAGTTGACAAGCTTGGTTCCCTCCTAATAGGGCCCCGTTATCGGTGTTACAGTTCACTCTGAGTTGGCAATTCTCCATGTTAAGAGTGAAACAGCGAGACCCAATAACAGAATAGTATGGTACACAGAAAAATACATGTATAAACCGTGTTCTAAAAACACTAAATGTTTCACTGAGAAGTCAAAGTCTATACAACTATATCAATTTTAAGTATCAGTGTTGATTAAAATCTGTGTTAGTCGCACAATGGGATAAATAGGATAGCACCAATTGGTTACTTAGATCATTGACAGAGAAACCATACCATTCATTGCATCTCATATCTCAGCACACTACTGTTTTGTATCTGTAGCATCCCAGAAGTAATAAAAAAGCCATTCTATCTATGTAGCACTTTGAAACATTGCACAGCGCTTTGAATCAGATCATTGCTCATCATCCTTTCACTTCAAGGGGGTAATTTTTATCAAACTTTCACTTCTACACTGCTGTGAAATAGGCAGGGTACTGAAACTTTTCTATTTTATAGCCATCTTGATGATGAATATTGATGATGTATTAACATAAATTTATGAAAATAAAGATTTATTAAAATGAATTCATAATACTTCAAAAAAGCTGATAACAGCATGAGAGCATAATTATAGCAAAACCATCCATTACCAATAACACATTAAAACAGGCAAGCAAAAGCAGAAATAACCATTCATGCTTCCAAAAGGTGATACAAAAACTTATCTATATCGAACTGCTGCTGAACATATTCGTATCAATAATCAGCATGTAAGATGTTGTCATGCATGTTTCTCTCCCTCCTTTATTGTTTTCCCATGTATTTCAAAGGGAGTGGTAGATAAGTAACAACAGGAACTAAAGGACCAGATTTGAAGGGGAAATATATATATATATGTATATGTATATGTATATGTATATGTATATGTATATATGTATGTATGTTTAAAATGAGCAGATTATGAAGTCTAGTAAATTTGTGCAGGTGATAGCAACAAATGAACAAAAAATGTAGTTGCAATAAATACTTGTATTGAATGATTGTTAATTCCTACTGTCTTATTTAATTGAATATTCTGTATTACAGTTCTGTATTATAGGTTGTATTCTGTAGGTCTTATTAAGCTTTATTTAATCTGAATCACTGACTTGTAGTAATAAAGAATTTGAATTTGAAAAAAAATCTATGTCATTTGAAAAATGTGTTATTTTTTAGTGTAAGAAACAAACCAAATGTTGACTGTTGTTTTTCAGGTATCAGATTATTATTTGAAGTACTGTAATTATGACAAGATATAAAATCAGTGATTGCTTTTTATTCAGTGTTGCACTGATTTTTCTTATCTTTCCTGCTGTAAATTGCCTTAGGAACCTGTTGTTGAAGGATAATGTTTATGACATTAAAATATTATTCCCATTATTTGTTAGTTAATTTCTTAAGCTGAATGGAATATATATTCCAAAAGGGCTAGAAGTGATATTGCCATGAATAAATACCACTAGGAACCAGCTGCTAGAACCTATGCTCTTGTTGCTACTTTTAACACATTTCCAACTTAAATTGACAGACTTACCAAGCAATACAGTATACGGACAAGCTGGAGGTCACAGCAGGCTAGCAGCAGCACTAGGGAATAACTTGACAGTTCTGAAGAAAGGAAATAAAGATTAAAAAACAAAAACTTTTAAATATATAAAAGAAATATTCCTGCTGAGTCATGGACCTCTAAAAACCTTACTGAATAAACTCAAGAAAGTAGGGCAGTCCACAGAGTCAAGTCCACACAGGATCTAGAATATACCAATACAGAGCAATTGTTGTTCTTAAAAGAGAATGTTTTAAGAATCTGTATTGCCATGCTGAAAAGAATATTCCTGTAGTTTGGTGAACCACACAATTGAATCTTGTCTTTAAATTGCTATTGTTCAGACAATCTAAAATTCATTCTTGCATTTAAAAGGTTTGACAAATGAAAAACAAGTTTTCACTAGTGAAAAACAAGTATATGATGAAGACTCCAAGAAGAGGGTAACAGACGATCAAAAACAGGACCTTCAGATATCTTTAAGGAAAAATTAGAAAAATAATTTTTCTCCCCCAATACTGAATGATTCTATAGGAGTACCTATTGATTGAGCAATAAGGTAGGCAGGCAAAAGAAACAGTGGAAGAAACGTAATGCATGATAGGATCAAGACAAAAATGTAATCAACCATATCAAAGGAAAAAATATGAAATAAAAAAAATCCCTGTTTAATTTAGCAACAAAAACAATCTGAGATTATAAAAAATATGGTTTCATTTCAAAAGCTTTATGGATCCCATCTGACCTGTCACAAGAAGATCAATACTTCAACACAGACAAAGAATTTTCCCCAAAAAACCTCTATGACATCAAAGACTGATTAGAGCAATGATTCACAAACAGTAGTATAAAGATTGGGGCTCTATGTAAAGTAAATCATTGCAATGTTAAGTCTGTGGTACTTAAGTCTTCAAAGACCCAGGTGACAAATATAATAACATAATCTTTGCAAATATATCAATATCATTCTTGGAAAAAGTGAGGGTTTCTATAATGGTGGGACTTAAGTTCTTTGATTAGTTCTAAGACTCTAGCAAAAGATCCAAGCATATAGTCTCTACTTTATCACTCAATCAGGAGTCAGTGATCTGAACAGAGAGTGAAGAAATGATAAAGACGCTCTTAGTGAGACATAAATTAAATACTAAGCATATGTAAAGTAGGATGAGTCACAAAGATATCTAGCGAATGTAATGTAAAAAAGATTAATTTTAATAGCCCTTTTGTTTAGAGATACTGAGTTTCAAATGATAATGACCTGAAACTTGTTCACCTGAGATTATTAAAAATAATATTTAATTAATAAGTAGGCATTTCTACTCAGCATCTTTTCCTTTGTTTAGTTCAATTTCTTTCTAAATTATTAGTTTTAGGACAAACTCAGAAACACTGACGTGAAAGCTTGAACACTTTTTGTTTTTTTCTTAGCAGCAATAAATAAACTTGGCACACAAGGCAAATAATATAAACCATGTGAATCCAAATGAGAAAGCCATCATCCCAAGGCAGTTGAGGTTAAATAATTCCTATGTAGAAGCTAGGAAAATAACCTTGAAGCAAATTTTTGGAAACCCTTATGTAAATACTGTGAAGAGGACAGAAACATTCCTTAAGTCTGTGGAAATATCAGAAAGACACTAGGAATGATTCTTCCCTGATTCGCAAGAGGCATAAGAGGAATGGTAGAAGCAGTCAGACTTAACAAGATTTTGTTATAGCTTATCTCAATAAAGTATAATTCTGGCCTTCCTGTGGAGTGTGTTTCCTAATCAGGTCTACCTTGAAGGGTTGACATCCAAGCACCCTGCATTTAGTTCTGCATTCCTTTATGCTTTATGCATCAAGGATTTCCTCTATATTCACAAACTGAATTTACAAAGTCTGAACAAAAATTATTTTTAGAAGAAAAACCGCTTATTTATTTTTTTGTACCTGCCAATGCACTGAGGAGGAAATGAGCAGCTAGGAAAAGCTCCTTATTGTGAATCTGTTGTTTGCTCTGTAATTGTACACCCACAAGCTGCAGAAATTCTTCTAAACATGGTTTCTCTGGTGACTTTAATTCCTCCATTGCTATGATGCCTGGACTCCCTTCAGAATATATACTGTCCAGCTGCAAAAACAAAATAAAAAGGGAACAGACACAATGGGCAGATTTAATCATATTCAGATTAAAATTAATCAGACCAAGTTTGACTTCTGATTGCCTTGACACATCTATTTATGTTTCTTTTACAACAATATGGAAATGGCATTTTTTTAAAAAATTGTACCTTGAAGCCTTGGAAATTATTGAGAATTTCTATCCAAATGTTAAGCAATATTAAGCAACTCTGTTTAACTTGTTCTGAGACCATCCAAGGTTGGGTAGGTGATGCTACTTGCTGTGATCCAGAAAATAATGATGCTCAAATCAGTCAACACCAATAAAAATTCCACTGATTTCATATTATGTGAAAACCTGACTCCTTTAAACATTAACTCTGCTGGGAAGTGTGGAAAAAAAAAACAGGATCACTAACAGGAAGGTGGATGCCTTCAGATATAACAGTAATGGAAATACTGAAGGATCAGATTGAAGATAGATCATCATGAAGACAAGCCATCTATTAATCCCCAAGATAATACTGATTTATAGCTATCATAATAATTATAAATATTTAATTAGAAACATACAGATTATTACTGCAATGAGAACTGTTTTCCTTTCTTTATAAAGAACAAGCTTTAAAAAATAAGAAAAATTGCATGTATGATTAGGAAATAAAAATTACCACATTTTCTAGTTGCATCACTGTTTCTTCATGAAGCAAAAAGTCACAAACCATTTGGTATAAAGCTCTCTGCTTTTCTTCTGATAGATTCATAAAAGGTTGGAACTGGGTCTTTAATTGGAGGATATCTGAAAACATATTATGCATGCATATGTAATCATTAAATAGAATTAAGTTGGAAAAGCTATTCCTAACAATTCTGAATGCAACATACATTCATTTCATTTAAAAGATTGTGTATGTGTGTTTCTGTGTGTGCATGTTGGAAGTATAAGGCATCATATGCATTAGCATTTTTATGGAGGGATTTTTTTTTACAAAACTGACCATTTTTATCCTGACTCAAATTTCGAAAATTCATCCTATGATTTTATCAAAGAGAAAATTCGTGTATACATAGTGATAACAGAGAAAATTAGAATTCAAATGAAATACATTTCTGTAATAGCCTGATGTACTAGGTTCCTGCTTCATGCGAAGATGTAAAATGGCTTTGTCATATCACATGAACCCAATCAATCTTGGTTTAGTCAGTAAACCATTGTTAACAGACTATAATTTAGCATATGATACAATTTATTATTTCTTCTCCACCCTCTTGAGGCATACCTACACTCCCTAACCTTTGACTCCATCCACTTAATAATTGCAATAAGGAGTGCTGGGATTGTGGCTGTTGAGTGAGGATTATTGAGATATCACGCGACATCTCGCTTAATGGCCAATTCACTCAACAAACAAGTTTGCGATCCCAATTATAAGTTGAGTCCTTGTTTGTCTTGAAGCAATTAATTAAAAAACTGCATTTTCATCAGTTGTAAACATTATTATTTGGAATAGTCTGCAATATGTAAAATTACTAGAGAGTGGTCTATAACAGGGCTTTTCAACCTTTTCACCGATTGTACCACTTTTAGGATTTGGCAATATCCGAATACCACCAGTCGCCTAGCAAAGTGTCAAAAACTTGGCCAAAAGAAAAAAAGATAAAGTACAGGTAGTCCTCGACTTACAAAAGTTCACTTAGTGACTGCTTGAAGTTACAACAGCACTGAAAAAAGTGACTCATGGCCATTTTTCGCAATTATGACCCTTTCAGTATTCCCAGGGTCATGTGATTTACATCTGGATGCTTGGCAACTGATTCATATTTATGATGGCTGCAGTGTCTCAAGGTCATGTGATCCCCTTTTGCAACCTTTTGACAAGCAAAGTCAATGGGGAAACCAGATTCACTTAAAAAGCTTTTATATCAGGGGTGTCAAACTCAATTTCATTGAGGGCCGCATTAGCACTGTGGTTACCATCTGGGGAAGTCCTTTCTTTTTCCCTCCCGCCTTGCCTCCCTCCTTCTCATTTCCATCTCCTTCCTTTCCTTTCCTTTCCTTTCCTTTCCTTTCCTTTCCTTCCCTTCCTTTCCACACTGATCTTGGCTCTTCTGCTGAGCCCTGATAGCTGATCGGCGCTTCTGCAGGGATATCAGGGCTCAACAGAAGCGCTAGGATCAATGCCGGGCTCCAGCTCATTGGCGATTCTGCAAGACTCAACAGAAGCACCAGGATCAGCTGGAACCTGGCGCTGATCCTGGCGCTTCTGCTGAGCCCTGACAGCCCTGCAGCTCCAGCCATCTCTCGCTCAGGCTTGTGCGGTGCTGCCATTGCTTCAGCTCATTCCCCTCCCCCGCTACTACTTCTCTAGGACGGTCACGTACCATCTGCCAATGTAACACCAGTGGTACGCGAACCACCGATTGAAAAGGCCTGATCTATAATATATCATGGAAAAGAAAAGTTATCTTAAGAAAATATATGAAGTTTAGTACTCTAGAAATAAGCATTGTACTTTCATGTCTATAAGTTAAAGGATTCATATAAATGCATAACTCATTAAATAAATATAAAATTAAAAATAAATATAAAATTAAACCCTGTTTTATTGGGTTTTTTTGTTTAGTACAAAATTCAACAAATGCTTTGGAATTTACCATCTTGTTTTGTGTATTTCACTAGTCCCATCATTTAAGTGCTAAAAATAGCTTCATAAAAAATCATTATCTTGTTTTAGGATAAAGAATGTATCTTTTGCTATAGAAGGATAAGTTTGAGATTTTTTTTTTTAAACTAAGAAGTTGATACTAGTTTTGACTTGGTCTGAGCCTTCCAACTGAGCAAACGGGTAGTTTTCTAATACGGTAGGAATTATTACTTCTTCCTATTCATCCAAATGAACACTCTCCCCTTTTTCTCTCACTACTGTTATAGTGAGGGGAAAAATTATTTGATTCCCTTGCTGATTTTGTATGTTTGCCCACTGACAAGGAAATGATCAGTCTATAATTTTAATGGTAGGTTTATTTTAACAGTGAGAGACAGAATAACAATAAAAACACCCAGAAAAACGCATTTCAAAAAAATTATAAATTGATTTGCATTTTAATGAGTGAAATAAGTATTTTGACCACTTTGCAAAACATGACTTAGTACTTTGTGGCAAAACTCTTGTTGGCAATCACAGAGGTCAGATATTTCTTGTACTGTAGTTGGCCACCAGGTTTACACACATCTCAGGAGGGATTTTGTCCCACTCCTCTTTGCAGGTCCTCTCCAAGTCATTAAGGTTTTGAGACCATGGTGGAGAGTTTGGAATCTGATTGATGGATTGCTTCTGTGGACAGGTGTTTTTTTATATAGGTAACAACCTTTAAGAGAGTGCCCCTAATTTCAGCTTGTTACCTGTATAAAAGGCACTTAGGAGCCAAAAATCTTGCTGATTGATAGGGGATCAAATATTTCACTCATTAAAATGCAAATCAATTGATAACTTTTTTGAAATGTGTTTTTCTGGATTTTTTGTTGTTGTTATTCTGTCTCTCACTGTTAAAATAAACCTACCATTAAAATTATAAACTGATCGTTTCTTTGTCAGTGGGCAAACGTACAAAATCAGCAGGGGATCAAATATTTTTTCCTTCACTGTACATATAAAATTAGCTCTCTTTGGTTCTGCACGTTCATTCATAAGTAAAATATATAGCATCAATATATAAGTATCCCATTAGTTTTGTATGGTCTGTATCTGTAGTTCATTCCACACATAATTTGTTCTTTACATTTTAAAAGGGGGATAAAATATTCTTATGCCAATGATCACCCTGGAGCAGCCCGGGGCAAGTATGAAAAGCAGCAACTGAAAGTGAAGACTATTGGTATTTTTATTATCTATCAGTTCAAGCACTTAAAGAGATATAAATGCATAGTAAGAGGATAATAAAGATAGCATGGGAAAGAGTGGAGAGGGAACTCATAATTGAGGTTGCTTAAACAATACAAAATTTCCATGACTTGTAAATGTTGTAGCTCTTAGTGTTTACAACTGGTGATACAGTACATTTTCGGAGGAATTAAGCCCAACTATTTATGATGCCATAATTGCATCAAGAATTGCCTTTACACACATGCACCTAATTCTAGAACTACCTTTCTGAGATCCTCAAAACCACACATTAAGCTGAAAAAAATGTTGGTTTAAGCTAGTGTAATGAACAGGAAATGTGAACACGTTTTTAGTCCTACCTTTGCTTAGAATGTTAAGTGAAACACCACCTGGAATAGGGCTTTCAGGTCCAGACAGTTTCTCATTATCCACAACATCAAAAAGATGAGGGCAGCAAGCATCTTTGAAGGCCAAAGAATGGTAAGATGGTTCCTCCATAGTCCCCCTTTCAAAACCACCTTGTTGGTCATGAAGGAGGCATAATTCTACAAAAGGAATGGTTTGGCTATCTTATTCTCAGGTAACTCAGCTCTCAGCTCCTGTTCGATCCCATAATATGAAGAAAAGCAAATAAATTATCCCTTGATGGTCTAATTAGCATTAAACCATTTTGTTAAACGTGTGAGAGATCTTGCCCATTCATAAAACATTTATCCAGATGAGTGTAACAAATCAGAAATCATCTATTTAATAAGAGGAATAAGGATGTTCCCTATGATTACCATCAGGTTGTTTTCACTGGTAGATATGTTCTTCTAGAGTTTACAATAAGAAACGTCCATCATGCCTCTGGGAAATTAATTCCATAACATTAAGCAGGCTGGACTTGCAATATTTATTCATTCATTCATTCATTCATGTGCATACATCTAATTTCTATTGTATAGCGTCCATTCTATTAGTGTCTCCAGGTGGCAGACAAATAATTTATATTATAAAATTAATTTATTAATTTAAAATATTAATGTTCATAACTTTCTCACTGTTTAAACAATGAAACAGAAAGGTTTCTGTCCTTCCTTACACCATGTCAAGACTCTTTAAAAGCTTGAATGAAATGCACCACAGTTAAAGAATAGAGAACAATTTGCTACTTTAGAACAGATGAGTGAAGTATTCAATAAAGAAATGTCAAGGTCATCAGTATACCATTGCAAATTCATGATCAGAATATAAACATAAATGCTCTATGAATACATGTATACATGTCTGCACCCTCCTCCTGAATACTGCATCACTGAAGGAGGCGCATAGGTAAGATAGCTTTAAGAGTAAGCAACACATTGCAATTGAATTTGTAACTCTGATCTATGTGAAAGCATTTCCATTCCAAATCTTCCTTTCCAGAAACATTAATGCACATTAAAAAATAAAAAAACCTAGTATGATTTATCACATTTGTGACAATGTCACAAATGTTTTAATACCTATGTGATATTGCCCAAGAATAAATCATCTCCTTTCCCTACTTCTCTCTTTAACCTATTCATATTATTGTTCCTCTGTGATATTAACACACTGTGTTTTGAGTTTTTAAGTCAAAAGGCTATAGGGACTCTGATTTACAGGAATATTTAAAGCATTCAAAGAACAACATACCCTGTGTGACTGATAAACAAAAGGGAACACTGATACTCCAAAGAAGCAATAAAAAGTAAGTCAAGGCACACATTTGAAAAATATATGAATGTCAAATGTAAGAAGACAATTCAGGAGAGCATGAAAGTTTTACTGTAATTGTTGAGAAAATGTTTTACTGCTCAAACTGTAAAAGGAAATTTGAAATTTGAAAAGTAATGATATAGCTAAGTATGTCAAGAATATCATTCTAGTATAAAAGAGATGCTGCTACAAGTATTTATCAAGATTGAGAGATAGCATTCATCCTGATATCAGATTAGGAGCTTCCATGATATCCAGTTAAAAAATCAACAACTGAGTAAGAAAAAAAACTTATTACAGTGTGACTGTGATAACTCCTTACAACTTATATAATTAAATAAAGAATGCAGCACAGCACTCTAACAATGAATTTTTAAGCAGGTATTTTTTTAAAAAATGGTCTTCAAAATTATCTAATATGATAAATGAAGTATCAAGGAAGTTGCAAAAGATAAACAAGCTATTTAGATAACTTTGACCTTAATTTGAATGTGGATATAATTGTGAAAAGCAATGAGAAAAATCCTGACATAAACAAAACTAGTTGATGTTTCATTGCTTAAAAGAAATACACAATAAATCAAAAAAGAGATATGGTAACTGGATTTTTGCTAATAAGGAAGGAATGATGAGACTTTTGGATTTTGTTTTTACTTAAGAGATGAGATATGAGGTGAAGAGAGTATATATTGTATCCTAAAGGTTTAAAAGGGCAGTGCTCATCACAGATTCTCAGCTAAGGAAGCCTGTTTGTCTGAGAAACGCTTCCGTCATCACGTGGCCAGTACAAAAATATGGAATGCATTAACCTTTCTCACTAAAGCAGTACCCATTTGTCTACTCACATTTGCATGCTTTTAACTGCTAGGTTGGCAAGAGATGGAGTAAGTAAAATAGAAGCCCGTCCTGTCATTTGGCACTCGGGTTTTAAACCCAGGTTGTTAGCTGCCAAGGCAGTGTCTTAACCGTTGGTGGTAACCGTTGTACCACCAATGGCTGTACTGTTGTACCCTGGGAGATGTAATACATTGCAAAAATGGTTGTAATGAAAGGAAAAATTTGCTTTTTATATTTTTTCTTTTTTATTCTTATACTTTTATAGTTTGCATTAGTTTTTATTCTAATTGTATAAAAAGTACTTTAAAAAATGCTGCCTCCTAACTTCACTGAATGTCAATAGAACTCTAAGCACATTGCATGTCACCTATTTTTGGCACAATTACTTGGATGTTCACTGAAGAAATGGATGAAAATATATAGAATCGCTATAGATGAGAACATCCTTCCACTACAGCAGCGGTTCTCAACCTATGGGTTGCGACCCCATTTGGGGTCGATCGACCATTTTTCGGGGGTCGCCAAAGAAGGCAATCTGCCATTTTCTCCCCTCAGGGGGCGGCGCCGCGCACGCGCGCGGCACCGCGCATGCGCAGAACGTTTGTGTGACGGGGGTCGCCGTCACACAAACGTTGAGAACCACTGCACTACAGGATAGAATAGGGTGATCTTTTCATGCAGAGAAAACCACAGCAAACATTTTCAAGATATTTGTTGTATATCCCAAAATACAAAAAGCAGTCCTATTCCATTAGAAGTAATGGTGTCCTTGATCACACATGGAAGCTGCAGACTAGTTTAGGAAATGCAAAACAGGCTACGAGACACACAGAGATTTATTCTACAAGAAAAAGAATGGCCAAGGGTCTTGTGAACAAATACTGATGGTCCAGGAATATTATTCATAAACTCCTTAAACTGAAGTGTCTGTCTTACTCCGCCTAAGGTAGGCTTAGTTTTGCTGAGCAAAGATGTTGATTTATAAGGTTTCGAAGATAAGATGGCCAAATATTAAAATCCAGCAAACAGAAATTAGAAAAGAAATAGCAATATTGTAAAGGAGGGAAAAATAATGTACAAAATTCTTACCTTTAAATATGGTGTAAGCATAGCTTTGAACACATTAATATGTATGCTTTCACTTTTTTTTTTTTAGCAGTACTGCCTGTTCTCAATACTATTATGTGATGTCCATATTTTAAATATTTCATATACTGAGATAAGAGTATATACTAAAAGAGGTTGCAGTGGCACAGTGGCTTAATGACGCTGGAACTGCCGACCAGAAATGGCCTGCACTCCAGCAGTTTGAATCTGGCTCTGACATGGAATAAGCTCCCATTGCTTGATCCCTAGCTGCCACTCACCCAGCAGTTCGAAAGCATACAATATTGCAAGTAGATTTATGGGTACCACTTCAGTGGGAATAACCTAACTGCATTTGTGTACGCAGAGAGTGGACGCCAGCACTGGACTTAGTCAAGTGCAAGGCATTGGGACAAGAAGTGAAGCGAGATCGACAGAGGAGTCCAGAACTGCCAGAGACCCAAGCTCTCCTAGTCAGCTGGTGTAAGCTAGTTTGCCCCTCTGCAGTACACTAAGGATAGATGAGCAAGCACTGAACAGAATGAATTAGCAATCTAGATTGTCAAGACATGCCTTGTGTGTGTAGATTTCTCTGACATTGTATGCTATCTCTTTTTCTGGCTACAGTAAAATCTATAATTTGCAACCAAATAAAATATTTGAATGCCTTGGTTTACCTTGTACTTTATCTTCTCATGTATTATACTCGGTTTCTGACTAATACTGATTCAAAACATCTGAAAGCCTTTCCTTTAAAGGAGCACCAATTATGTACTGATATATGGTACATATAAAACTGAATTCAAAATAAAATGTTGGGATAAGAGAACCTCTGCTGATAATCTCGGTCTAATAAAAAGCATGCTCTTTTATGCTGCCCTGAGGAAAAGGAAGGTGAGAATAGCCACATTACTTACCAAATTGACCATTGCGCTTTATATACAATTCTATTACAGCATAAGCAATTGTAGTTGGAGCAGGGATCTCTAATACCACATTAGAGTTCTTGATCATATTCCCATTTTCACTCACTGATACCTAGAGAGAGATTTAATTGCTGGTTAATTTGTGCAAATTAATTCCAAAATACATTAATTTACACATGAAAGGATGACAAGGAGTCATTTTGTAGAATTTAAAAATAACTTTTCAATTACTTTTAAGTTAAAGCCAAACAATGAAACAGAAAATGCCCAGGGCTGATAAATTTAAGCTATCATATCTCAGCCCAAGTCCTTAATAAGATATATGGCCGGGGGGGGGGGGGCAAGGTGTGTAGAGAGAGGTACAGGACCAAGAGTTACCGTACTTTCCGGTGTATAAGACGACTTTCGCAAGCAGTAAAATCGGTGCTGAAGTCAGAGGTCGTCTTATACGCCGAGTAGTCTTATAGGCCGGAAATTACGGTAGTTTCTGGCGTATAAGATGACTTTCTAGGCATGCGACTCGGCGCGGAAGACGGGGGTTGTCTTATACGCCGGGTCGCCTTATACACCGGAATATACGGTACTTAAAGAGAGAAATGAACGCATAAATAAATAAGAACATATGTATCTTGGTATTGGAGTCATTGGTGCTCTCTGAGCTTGGCTGTTTATTGCGGATGTTTCATTACCCAATTAGGCACTGATGATGTTACATAGCAGAATAAAGAAACATCAGCAAGCAAACTACCAAGCTCAGAAAGCACCAAACTTTACATAAATAAATATTTTGGAAGTTTTTTAAAACTAGATAGCTCTCAAATGTATTTTCTTAAGTTTGCCTTTGAGAAATAGGTGGGTTTTTAATTCACAGAAGATAGATCAACTACAAGGAATTCTCCTTAATACAAATGGATCTTCTATCCCCAGAGATAGATCTGCAGTGCCTTTCAGCTGGAGTAAGCATCTCTATAATTAATTTATTGTGAGATGCTCTACTGCTGACAGAACTGGAGAAAATGATTCAATTATCTTTAGTCTCATCCAGCATTTGGTAACTTTCATTTAAGTTCAAAAACCTTAGCAAGACTTCTTGAAACGATTCTGGGTTAAATGCATCACACTTCTGAGTATTTTCACCTTATAAAAACTGTACATATTTTTATTCATTCTAACATTTAATAGCAAATAGACTTAATAGCAAACAGTCTTCAAACTCACAGAACATTTGTTTTTGAACAGAAACATTAATACTTCAGTTTAATGCAAACCAGTTTATTTGTGCCTGGGAACAAATAAATGCACTTTTTTTCTTTAAAAAAAGGTGGGGGGCTTCAAAAGCCACAAGGATGTGATCAGCAATGCAATACAAGACTGGAATGGACAGGGATGAAATTTCAACCTTTTCAGAACAGGGATTTAAAGGGCACAAAGGCGATATACATCTTGCTGGCGGATGATATGGAAAAATGCAATAGAACGTTGTAAGAGTTCATTGATATTCTTCGTTATGCATTAATACCTTTATAATTTTTGTACTTATTCCCACCATTCCAGCAAGTTTTTCCTGTTTTTGAATATGTTCTGATACTAAACATTTCTGAGTTGTCAATATTTTTTCTGTAAGGATACAAAGAACATCATTCTTTTTTTCAACCATTTGTTCCAACAATGGAGTCTGTAGATTTATTGATCTAAAGGAGAAAAAAAAAATTAAAATTACTATGAAAAAAGTTTATTTTTAATAGATGGACATACTATTGTTCTCCCATAACTTGATAAACAATGCACTCTTTAGTAACAAAGAGCTAGTATACCAATCAGAAAGAGAAAAAAATGTGTTGGATTATTGCATTTGGATACAAGCAGCATATATAAAAAATATCACAGTGATAATACTGGATTTATGACTCAATTAAAAGCTAACATCAGACTTTTCAATACTCTATGAGCCTTCTTCCCAAATGCTCCATATTCAAGTCTTCCCGACATATCTGCATCTTTTTCAAAACAGATATGAGAATATATTTACCTATCATTGCATTTATATTCATTCTTGAGATCAATATGGCATACATGAGATCACTCTAATTATCTTACAATGCAATCCTATGAGGTAGTTTGCGCTGAAATTGAATGACTGGGGCAAAATAAGATTAATTGTTGAATATAATTATGAACACGAGTCTATTCAACTACCTTAGCTATAATACAAACTAAATCTGGTTATCAGTAGCATTTCCCCAGCAAATTTATACTAATTCCAGAAACCATGGTTTTCATCATCACCATTTTTTACTGCTTATTTATTCAATTCCAAGTATCTGTAACACTTTTCAAAACAATTCTTCTTTTTAAACCTCACAAAGATGCCTTTAAAACCCTATCCAGTAAAACTATTTATAGAATAAAATAAATATGTACCTTCCCTTCACATCTTTCATAAGCTTGTGCAAGTCAACATCTTGCTTTTTAAGATTTCCAAAAGAGGACAGACTTTCCACAACATCGCTTCCTCCAGTTCCTAAATTAATTCTTCCTAATGAAGTTTCTATGCTTCCTCTGATACAGTCTTCAAACTTGCCTTCATACTTCACAAAGTCAGACTCTGCAATAACTTGGGACAAAAAGCAACATATCAAATTACAGAACATTAAACTGGAGCACAATATAATTATTTAAAAAATCAAACACTATTGATAACAAAACATATTGAAACATCTACTGACTTACTTAGTTACTATTTTTCACTGCTTCCTGTATTTAAAAATGTTTATCATCCAATGAATAAAGCAAAGATGGAGAATCTGTGATCCTTCACATGATGCTAAAATAAATGCAGTTTCTTTGAACCAGTGGGTCATGTTAGTAGAGTCTACTGGGAGTTTATCAATGTTGCTTGGGTAATCCAAGTTCCCCATCCTTGGAATGTATGGATCTGTATGCTATAAACCTCACAATACTTTGAAAGGATTGGGGTCTTAGAAATGCAACCATGTATATGGAACTGATATGCAAGTTCTGAGGTTTTGCTGGTTAAAGAAATATAGGAAACCAGAAGTTTTACGTTTTTATTCAGCTGAATAGAGATGGACACCTCTAAATGAGGAGAGCCACGAATGACAAGAAATCCTTGTATTTATTCTGAATAATTACATAAGCAACCCATCCAACAAAGCTGATACACATAAGATAAAGATTGCACCCAGTAAGTCTGCTACACTATAGATAAGAAGGGAGAAAGCAGAAGTAGCTAAACATGTTCCCATTCAGGTGTTCGTGGGTGGGTTAGGACACTGGGTATTGTTCTTGCTGTCCTTTCATGATCCTGCATCCAGGACTACAAGTGACCTGAGACAGAGGGGCCATCTGTATATTGATACTGTCCCCTAAGTCCTGGTCAGCAGAACATTTAAAGAATAATAGCAGTCATTCTAAATAACAGTTCTCTGAATTCCACCAGACGTTCTCTATCCACTGTGAAAACGAAATAGTCATAAAATAAGTCTTGCCATGCTTTGCCTGTCTGCCTATTTGTACTTAGTCTATCTATTTATATCACCCCAGAGTCCACCCCTAGTTCTGATGGACTCTGAACAATATAGTGAACAAAGCACGAAATTAAGGACAAAGGAAATAAAAACAACTTGATACAAATCTTGCTGGATATTAAAGTCAACCACATCCAAAAGCACACTGAAATAATAACTTTCAGCCAATGAAGAATTAAAGGAGGATTGGGACCAATCATGTATTTGAAAGACTAGCACAGAACAGACATTCCTATTCTAAATTTCTTGGGGTCTTGCATTTGTGTTGGGGTAATATGCAGTCCTATACTCTCAAGCTAATTCTTAATTCTAAGAGGTTACTATACGTTTAATATTCATTTTCTTCTACAACTTAAAAGGCTCATTTAAAGAATTAAATGAAACTAAAGGTCAGTAAAACAAGGAAAACTTGCAAGAGCTGTTGCCCTGACATGTTTGAAGTAGACTGAGTCACAGAAGCTATAGTAAATCATGCATGGCTTTTCTGAATTTTATTTTAACCATTACTGATACATCATAATAAACCAGCTTTTAAGAATAGGTTGCCCAATTATACAATTATTGCACTGTCTGTACACAATTATAGAGCACTGATTCGCCAGTATACAATTTTCTATTCTCCTTTAGTTTCTCACCATGGAATAATACCTGCTACCCTTGAGCTCTTTTGTCCTTTTTCTGGACAAGAAAGCGTGTTTCCCAACAAAAATAAAATAAAGTAAGGGAAAATAAAATGATGCTAAATTTGTTTGGTGTAATTCCAATTTCCTTTGTTTTTACTATAAAAAAGTCAGTCAGGGCAGAGAAACTGGTGGCTACTAAAGGAGATGTATATTCAAGATTATTAGCACTAGAACAGTGGTTCTCAACCTGTGGGTCGGGACCCCATTTGGGATCGAACGATCATTTCACGGGGGTCGCCAAACAACGCAGTCCGCCATTTTTTCCCCCTTTTCCTTAGCTGTGCTACTCCCTTTTATTCTATTGGCTTTTGAAAGCCAATAGAATAGACTCTCTTGAATAGAGTCTAATTCTATTGGCTTTCAAAAACCAATAGGAATTGTCCAGGCTGTCTTTGCCCTTCTGAACCCGCCAAAAGTCCCATTCTGCAAACGGTGCTGCACCAGTTGAGTAGTCCTCGACTTACGACCGGTTGAGTAGTCCTCAACTTATGACCAGTTGGGGGGTCGCGGCATTAAAAAGGTTGAGAACCACTGCACTAGAAGGTCATGACCTACAGACAGGGTGGCATGCTACTTTGTGCGAAGAAAGACATTTAGGCCAGCAACACTTCCGGAAGCATTATATTAGGAGAGTATTGGATATCTGGAAAAAATAAAAAGAAATAATTATAGGAAAATCCCCAACTGGGTGTCTATATTAGAAATGTGTACACATCCAAATTTGATAAGACGTGGGGGTGCTGTCACCTATAAAGTTATTTTGAATGAGAAAGGAGAATTAAAAGCGAGAAATACCTTAAAGGAAGAAGGAATTGATCTGGAATGGTGGGCTTATCTTCAAATTCAATCCAAATTTAATAAAGACAAAAAGGAACGGGGTATAAAGCAAGATTCTTCAGAATTAGATAAAATCTTATTTAGCAGGGAAGGCAAGATTATAAGTAAATTATATCGATATTTATTAGAGCAAGATATGATTGAGGAACAGGTGAAAGAAACGATGATAATTTGGTGTAAATATTTTGGACACAATATTGATTTGGATATTTGGCAAAGTTTATGAGAAAAAAAATCTAAAAATTACCTAGCAACCTCCTATAAGGAAAACCTCTATAAGATGTTTTATAGGTGGCACCTCCCTCCCACAAGACTAGCACGAATGAACAAGGGGAAATCCTCGATTTGCTGGAAGTGTGAAGAGACCGTTGGGAATTACTACCACATGTGGTGGCAATGCCCAAAGGCACAAAAATTTTGGAACTTATTAAAGAAGTGGTTGGAAGAAATTTTGCAAATAGATATAGAAGCCAAACCGGAATTTTTCTTATTGGGAATTATAGAAAGAAAATATAAGAAAGACACAAATTATTTACCACTGCATTTAGTAACAGAGGCACAAATAGCCTTCGTTCAAAAATGGAAAGAGAAAGATACTCCAACAGAAGAGGAAATATTACTGAAGATTTTCAATTGCACTGAAATGGATAGACTTACATGGGAACTCAAGGATAAAAGTGAAACCAAGTACTATAAAATCTGGGAACAATTTTATGATTGGATAGACAATAGAGGGTAACCAAGATAAATATATAGTGCTAGAATAAAATATAGATTATAGACAAATGTATATTTAAAAGATAAATAGACATATAGAAATAAGGGAAAAAGTGTTAATAGTATATTATAAATAGTGAGCAAAGTTCAAGAACTATATATCTATATGAGTACTAATACTATTGTAAAATGTTGGAAGATGTGTGGAACCAGTGATGTCATATCTATGTCCAATGTGTTTTTAATTTTGTATTATTAATAAAAATTTATAAAAAAATAAAATAAAATAAAGGAGATGTATATTCATGCCTCAAGGCATCGTGTCTAAGGCATTAACACTAAGCCATGCTTATTGGCAAATTGATGGTGTATATATGTATATTTTTACTCTTCATCTCATGTTTTATTTTTAAATCTTATTAATTGCATTGCTTGTTCACTGGAGCAGAAAGGCATATTATATTGTTGTTGTTGTTGTTAATTGCGAAGTCGTGTCCGACCCATCGCGACCCATGGACAATGAGAAATTCACTCATCCGATAGAATGATTTGATCTGATGATCATACATTCAGTTTGAGATTAATTCTGATGCATATTGTTCATATTATCTAATTACTATTTTAATCATTTGCATTAATTCCACGTTCACCTTGAAAGTTCAGGAAGGTTTATATGAGAAATCTACTATTTTTATGCCCCAAATTTTAAACATGGAATAGAGTAGCAGAGAGAGCTTAGAAATAAAATGACTATCTAAAATTCTATGGGTTTGTGGAAAAAATAGAAAGAGAGAAGATGCTTGGTCCTCCTACTAGATTATTTTTAGAATTTCTTTTTTTATATAAATATTGTATTAATTTTCTAGTTTTACAATCAAATACTTTAATAGACTACATATTGTCTGGGTCCATTAGTAATTCAGCTGTTGTTGTTAGTTGCAAAGTCGTGTCAGACCCATCGCGATCCCATGGACAACGTTCCTCCAGGTCTTCCTGTCCTCTACCATCTTCTGGAGTCCATTTAAGTTCATGCCTACTACTTCAGTAATTCCATTCAGCCACCTCATTCTCTGTTGTCCCTTTCTTCTATTGCCCTCAATCTTTCCCAGCATTAGCCCCTTCTCCAGTGAGTCCTTCCTTCTCATTAGGTGGCCAAAGTATTTGAGTTTCAACTTCAGGATCTGGCCTTCTAAAGAGCAGTCAGGGTTGATCTCTTCTAGAACTGACCGGTTTGAACGCCTTGCAGTCCAAGGGACTCGCAAGAGTCTTCTCCAGCACCATAGTTCAAAGGCCTCAATTCTTTGGCGCTCAGCCTTTCTTATGGTCCAACTTTCACAGCCATACATTGCAACTGGGAAAACCATGGCCTGGACTATACGCACTTTTGTTGGCAGGGTGATGTCTCTGCTTTTTAGTATGCTGTCTAGATTTGCCATAGCTTTCCTCCCCAGGAGCAAGCGTCTTTTAATTTCTTGGCTGCAGTCCCCATCTGAGGTGATCTTGGAGCCCAGAAAAATAAAATCTGTCACTACCTCCATTTCTTCCCCATCTATTTGCCAGGAATTGAGAGGGCCGGATGCCATGATTTTGGTTTTCTTAATGTTGAGTTTCAAGCCAACTTTTGCACTCTCCTTCTTCACCCGCATCAAGAGGCTCTTTAGTTCCTCTTCACTTTCTGCCATTAGAGTGGTATCATCTGCATATCTTAGGTTGTTGATATTTCTCCCGGCAATCTTAATTCCAACTTTTGATTCATCTAGCCCTGCCTTTCTCATGATGTGCTCTGCATATAAGTTAAATAGGCAGGGCGACAGTATACAGCCTTGCCGGACTCCTTTTCCAATTTTGAACCAATCAGTGGTTCCGTGTCGGTTCTCACTGTTGCTTCTTGACCCGCATATAGGTTTCTCAAGAGACAAATAAGATGGTCTGGTACTCCCATCTCTTTAAGAACTTGCCACAATTTGTTGTGATCCACACAATCAAAGGCTTTTGCATAGTCAATGAAGCAGAAGTAGATGTTTTTCTGGAACTCCCTAGCTTTCTCCATGATCCAGCGTATGTTGGCAATTTGATCTCTAGTTCCTCTGCCTCTTCGAAATCCTGCCTGTACTTCTGGTAGTTCTCGATCCACATACTGCTGGAGTCTAGCTTGTAGGATTTTAAGCATAACTTTACTAGCATGTGAAATGAGTGCAATGGTGCGATAGTTTGAACATTCTTTGGCATTGCCTTTCTTTGGAATTGGAATGTAAACTGACCTTTTCCAATCCTGTGGCCACTGTTGAGTTTTCCAAATTTGCTGGCAAATTGAGTGTAGCACTTTTACTGCATCGTCTTTTAAGATTTTGAATAGCTCAGCTGGAATACTGTCACCTCCACTAGCTTTGTTGTTGCTCAGATTTTCTAAGGCCCATTTCACTTCACATTCTAGGATGTCTGGTTCGAGGTCAGTGACCATCTCATTGTGGTTATCTGGGATGTTAAGCTCATTCTTGTATAGTTCTTCTGTGTAGTTTTGCCATCTCTTCTTAATCTCTTCTGCCTCTGTTAGGTCTCTGCCATTTTGGTCCTTTATCATGCCCATCTTTGCATGAAACGTTCCCTTCATATCTCCAATTTTCTTGAAGAGATCTCTGGTCCTCCCTATTCTGTTGTTTTCTTCTATTTCTTTGCACTGTTCATTTAAGAAGGCATTCTTATCTCTTCTAGCTATTCTCTGGAATTCTGCATTCAATTGGGTGTATCTTTCTCTTTCTCCTTTGCCTTTCGCTTCCCTTCTTTCCTCAGCTATTTGCAAAGCTTCCTCAGACAGCCATTTTGTTTTCTTGCATTTCTTTTTCTTTGGGATGATTTTAGTTGCTACCTCTTGTACAATGTTGCGAACTTCCATCCATAGTTCTTCAGGCACTGTCTATCAGATCTAATTCCTTAAATCTATTTGTCACCTCTACTGTATATTCATTAGGAATATGATTTAGTTCATTCCTGAGTGGCCTAGTGCTTTTCCCTATTTTTTTCAATTTAAGCCTAAATTTTGCAACGAGAAGCTCATGATCTGAGCCACAGTCAGCTCCTGGTCTTGTTTTTACTGACTGTATAGAGCTTCTCCATCTTTGGCTGCAGAGCACATAGTCAATCTGATTTCTATGTTGACCGTCTGGTGATCTCCATGTGTAGAGCCATCTCTTGGGTTGTTGGAAAAGAGTGTTTGTTATGACCATCGTATTCTCTTGACAAAATTCTATAGCCTGTGCCCTGCTTCATTTTGTACTCCAAGGCCAAACTTGCCTGTTATTCCGGTTATCTTTTGGCTTCCAACCTTAGCATTCCAATCCCCCATGATGATAAGGACATCATTTTTTGGTGTTAATTCTATAAGGTGCTGTAGGGCTTCATAGAACCGGTCAATTTCATCCTCTTCAGCACCAGTGGTTGGGGCATAGATTTGGATTGTTATATTGAATGGTTTGCCTTGGATTTGAATTGAGATCATTCTGTCATTTTGGGGATTGTATCCCAGTATTGCTTTTCCTATTCTTTTATTGACTATGAAGGCTACTCCATTTCTTCTGAGGGATTCTTGCCCACAGTAGTATACCTGATGGTCATCTGAGTTAAATTCACCCATTCCTGTCCATTTTAGTTCGCTGATTCCTAAGATGTCGATGTTCAGTCTTGTCATCTCTTTTTTGACTACGTCTAGCTTGCCTTGATTCATGGATCTTACATTCCAGGTTCCTATGGAGAAAAAATCTTTACAGCATCGGACTTTCCTTTCACCACCAGATATATCCACAGCTGAGCGTCCTTTCGGCTTTGGCCCAGTCGCTTCATTCTTTCTGGCGCTACTAGTACTAGCCCCCTGCTCTTCCCCAGTAGCATATTGGACACCTTCCGACCTGAGGGGCTCATCTTCCAGCGTCATATCTTTTTTCCTTTTAGTACTGTCCATGGGGTTTTCATGGCAAAGATACTGGAGTGGTTTGCCATTTCCTTCTCCAGTGGACCATATTTTGTCAGAACTCTCTGCTATGACCTGTCCGTCTTGGGTGGCCCTGCACGGCATAGCTTATAGCTTCACTGAGTTACACAAGCCCCTTCGCCACGACAAGGCAGTAATCCATAAAGGGGGCATATTATATAGAAAGTAAAATAAGATTCTGGTGTTCTAGGTTTTTCTCCTGGAATATGTCTATCTAACATTGTAGGAATGGTCTATCATTTTCTAGAATATTCTAGATTAGAAATGGGAAATGATTTGTAGACTACAAGTAGTCATTGACTTCACAATTGACTTTTACAATTTAATCCAAAATTTCTGTTACTAGATCAGATAGTTGTTACAGTAAGTGACTTTTGGCCCATTTTACAATCTTTCTTGCCACAATTTATTTATTTATTCAGAAAATATATATAGCTGCCTAATTGTTAACAGTGACTCTAGGCAGCTTGCAAACAATAAAAACACAGTATAAATAAAATAAAAATACTAAAAATAAAATAAAAAAACAACCCATCTCCCGGCAATAACACATGTAATTAAGTGAATCACTGCAGTTGTTGTTAGTAACACGTTTGTTAAGTGAATCTGGCTTCATTGACTTTGCTTGACAGAAAGTAACAACAGTTGATGACATGACCCCAGGACACTGCAATCATCTTAAATGTGAACCAGTTGCCAAGCATCCAAATTTTGATATGATTATGGGGATTCTGTAGCAGTCCTAAGTGTGAAAAAAGGTCATAAATCACTTTTTCAGTGCCCTTGTAACTTCAAATGGTCACTAAAAGAACAGTTGTAAGTCAAGGATGTCCTGTATTCCTAAAATAGCCAATGTGTTATAGGAGAAAAATCAAAATCCACTATTTTACACATTCCTGCTTAATTTAAAAAAAAACATAGTTTGCAAACCATAAGGATGAGTTCTCACAGAACCACACCAAAAAAAATTACATTGTGATTTAGCATGGCATGAGAACTCAATCAATAAGATGCTGTTAACAGTAGTCAGAGCAAGAATGTATACTCCCCTTCAGTGAAGGAACAAGATATCAATTTAAAGTAAAAAATCTTTAACATCTTTAAAAACAGCAAATAATGAAGTTCCTCAATGATCCTGAACTGTAATCCACGAATTTGGATACCACCAAATTAAAAAATATGAACTAGCAAGTAAAAGCAATTTTCTGAAAGAAAAATTATGTCTTTAATTATATTAATTATAGCAGGGTTTTTTTTAAAAAAAACCTAAACTACTAAATGGTTTTTCAAGATATTATGCCTGAATTCAATTTAAATCTATCTACTACATCCCCATGGAGAGAAGGAAGCACAAGGTTTCATCTGAGGCCCAGTACTCTTCAATATCTTCATCAATGATTTAGATGAGGGAATTGAAGGAGAACTCATCAAATTTGCAGATGACACCAAACTGGCAGGAGTAGCCAATACCCCAAATTCAGGATGTAAAAAGATCTTGACAAACTTGAATAATGGGCCCTATTCAACAACATGAGTTTCAATGTGGAGAAAAACAAAGGTACAAAGTAAAGATTGGGCGAGACCTGGCTTAAAAACAGTAACTGTGAGAGGGACCTTGGAGTCCTAGTGGACGATCACTTGACTATGAGCCAGCAGTGTGCAGCAGCAGCCCAAAAAGTTATACAATCCTGGGTTGTATAAACAGAGGCATAGAATCAAGATCACATGCAGTATTAAGACCGCTTTATAAAACCCTAGTAAGACCACACTTGGAATACTGCAGCCAATTTTGGTCATCATATCACAAAAAAGATGTTGAGAGTTTGGAAAAAAATTCAGAGAAAAGCAACTAAGATGATTAAGGGCCTGGAGACTAAAATATACAAAGAATGGCTGTAGGACTTGGGTTTGGCTAGTCTAAAGAAAAGAAGAAATAGGGGAGACATGATAACAGTATTCCAGTATTTGAGAGGCTACTACAAAGAAGAGGGGGTCATATTATTCACCAAAGCACCATAAGTCAGGACAAGGAACAATGGTTGGAAACTGATCAAAGAGAGAAGCAATCTGGAATTAAGGAGAAACTTCCTGACAGTGAGGACAGTTAACCAGTGGAATAGCTTGCCTCCAGAAATTGTGGGCACTCCATCACTGGAGATTTTTAAGAAGAGGCTAGACAGTCACTTGTCTGAGATGGTATAAGTCCTCCTGCTTGAGCAGGGGGCTGGACTAGAAGACCTCCAAGGTCCCTTCCAGCTCTATTCTATTCTATTTCCAACTGACTAAAAGCAATGATATTCTAAATTATAGGTATTAATTTAGCAATATTCAAAAAATGTTATCATTAATTACTGCTATTCTGAAAGGTCAAAGTGCTTTCTGAATACAAATTGAGACATTTACTAAATGATTAGACTTTAGCACTTATTCTGTAAGTGAACATATTAAGTACTGCAAGTAAGTCATTTTATAGCACGTACCCCATAAAATGGTGCAACTTAAATTGAATTTTCACCAATCAATGAAACTGTAGAAAGTTTCACAATTTAAATTATCTAATAGATCAATCTGAACAATTTTGATTGAAAATGGATTTCAAAAACTTGCAGAAAACCAACAAAAGAGCAAAGTAACATGTAAAGTAATATTGCTGTATCTAACTTTTTTGGGGGGAAAATGATAACGATTTTAACAACAGTAATAAAGCAGGTAATTATACAATGATGCATAGTACTTTGCACTTCCTCTTATCTCCTATAACAGAGTATAACTGTGACTCTACCTGGCTTTATAGGTTCATGCATATCTTCAGCAAGCACATCATTCAATGAAACTGATGAGAGATGGTACTTTGGATTTTGCCAGCACCAAGTTTTCTTTTTCTTTGTGACTAAGTTCAGGAACTGTAATTTATCTAAGTTATTCAGGGATGACACAGAGATTAAGTCTCCTCCACAGTCAACCTCCTTCACAAAAGTCTTGGTTGCTTTTGCAAACATCCTTAGGAGATATTCAACAAAAATCTGCAGAAACAAAATCAAAATGTGAGAAATACAAATAGTGTGTGGAAAAATGTTCATTTACTAGTAATCTTTGACATTACCTCAGTTGGAACAAATATTTATATTGCTAAGTGAGGCAGCTATTAACAGAGTTGCACTCAATTTTACAACCCTTTTTGCACAGTTGTTAAATGAATCACTGTGGTTAAGTGAATCTACCTAATCATTAAACAAATCCAGCTTTTCCCATTGACTTCGCTTACCAGAAACCATCTGGGAATATCACAAATGATAATCACAGAGCCCTAGTATGCTGCAATTGTCAAAGATTCATGTTGATTACCAAGTGCTCAAATTCTGGTCATGCAAATGCTACAATATTCATATGTGCAAGAACCTGCCATAAGTTACTTTTTTCAGTACTGTTACAAGTTCAAAGTCAATAAAAATGGTTTTAAGGCAAGGACTATCCTTTAAAGTATATGTCGAAAGAAGGTATTGATTTGTACTTATAAGATTTCTACCCAGCCATACCTTGACATTTTGCTGCCTATTGCTGTAAGAAAACAAAAGAACTTTATTTTAACCAAAGTAAGGCAGATATATTTAAAAATACAATATTGTAACATCAATTTTATTTTATGTAGGGAGTTGGTGACTGTCAGCAAACATGTCTATGACATTTAAGGCAATGAAAAATGTGATCATATATTTTTTCTGCTTTAAACTCTTTGATTTTTTTTTCACATAACAGAATAACACCATTCATTTACTCTACAGACTATAACAGCACATATGTGCAACAGTGGCAGAAGTAAAAAGAAAGCAGCCACAACTAGACATTGTGTTTGTGTAATAAATGTACAGCTGTAGTTGTAAGACAGTAAGAAAAGAATCCAAAGCAACACAACCCTTTTCTGTTTAAATTTAAACTACAATACTTTAAAGCAGCATTTCTCTTGCTGATATGAGGAATTTTGGAAGTTGGTCCATATATCTTAAAACTGCTTAAGTTGAGAAACACTAGCCTAAAATAGAAATTTTGGTGGTTTTAGTTTACCTCACTTGGTACAGCTGTAAGAGTTACAAAAGATACAAAGAGAGGGAGTATTTTGTAATTCTTGGTACTAATTTGGATAATCAATTTATGACCAGCAATTTATGAGCAGCAGCAGCAGCACACCCTCCCCCCCTTTCTAATCACACTGAACAGGAAGGTCTTCATGAGGAAGGAGCAAGCGAGATAGAGACAACGATAGTTCGGGTTCGGAGGGCAGAAGAGGGTGAATCTCGCCTTGGCTCAGCAGAGCTCTGTCCCGGTCGCTGAGAGAGAGGCAGAGGGTCGCGCTACAAGAAGAGGACAGCAGCATCAAGGGGGTGGAGGCCAAACGCCTGGGACACTGGCTAGACTTGGTACAAGTCTAATCAACATGAATCTTTGACAATTGCAGCATACTAGGGCCCTGTGATTATCATTTGTGATATTCCCAGATGGTTTCTGATAAACAACAGGAGGAAAATTTAGCCGAGAAAGGACCACGTGGGGTGGGGTGGGGAGAATAAGTTGACCCCAGTGCAGTAAAAAGCGGCTTTCACCTAGAATTGCATCTGCACCTCCCTTACGCTTCCTTTTTTTACTCACAATAACAGGATCGACAATAACTCCACTGCGCAAGACCAATTTCTTCGCAATTGCTGCAATCCAAGTTCTATTGTTAGGGCCTATCGCTCCAGTCTGCGATGCCTCACTCGACTGTAGCCAACCCTTCTCCTGACTCGCTTTCCGAACTCGCCGCTTTCTTTCTTTTATTCGCTCGTGACCGGCGGGGAGGAGGTGTGCTCCAAACGAGGGGCGTGGCCAAATACTGCCTCTGCCAGCGCCGTAACAAATACGAACTGACGGACTCAACCATGATGCAAACGGTGATATAGGAAGGAATGAGAGACAACTGTGCAAGCATTCATTTGAAAGCTGCCTAATTGGAACTTGTTTTATTTTCTTGCGTAATAATAATCTTTGTACTTAGATTTGCATGCCTGCTTAAGAGGCTACTTAAAATACATTTCTGTTTAGGCAACTTGAAAAATACTAGGTCTGTATTTCCATGTTTCCAATGATTAAAGGTAAATACATAAAAACCAAGATGTGGGCGGAATCACGGGGAAGAATATCTCCCACGGCACCCCTTGCACTTTGGTTTATAATCCATAGCTGAGTAAATATTATCAAGGCCAGCCAAACTCATAAGCACGAGCTTTTAACTTCCCAGGATTTCATCAGCAAGGTGCTATGAAAATAGAATAAAACTAAAAAATCTAAAAATCAGTCAAAATGTAAATATAAAAAGTGGTTTAGATTTAGTCTGAAAGAATGTAAGGCTACCAGATGTGGGCTAAAAAAAATTATGCAATCAGAGGATGACAAAATAATTTTTTGCAGCCCTGATGAATTAGTCACCACCAGATGTGACAAGTGCTATATTATATACATAACATCAAGAAACTAAAAAACTGGTTGATCTTCATTTTTTTCTGTTATACACAAAAGCAGCAGCCTAAATTCTGAAGCTTGGAAACCAACCTGGAACAGATTTTCCTCTTGAGTGCAATTAATCATTTTTTTCTAAATAACATTGCATTCCTTGTGTTAGCAAGCCATGATATAAATTTTAATACTGGGTCAATCCACAGATTACATGGGGCCCACTTAAAAATCAAAGCCCTCTTTAAGTTAGCAATGGATGGATTAAAAGTAAAAAAAAATCATGTTTCATGATAAAGTAAAAATTGTATTTGTATCATATTCTCCTAGGAATAGCTTGCAAGTTTGGCTTTGCTGCCTTACCTGGGACAAAAAAAACCTTAATAGGGTACAATGACTCATGCTTTTTTTTTCTAATTAGACTACCTACTGCAAAGCATTTTACCTGGAGCTGCTTACAAAGATTATTCAGAAACTAGTTAGTCCACAATTCAATGTCCCAAATGCTAACCAAGTCCCTTCATTAGGAGCACTTTGTACTTATGCTATTGACCTTCCCTCCAAAGGGAAGCTCCCCAAATAATTAGTGCTGCTGCTTCTGCTCACTCCCTAGCTCCCTTTTCTTTCCAGAAGTAGGGCATTAGGAGCAGTTTTTCACTAGGTAACCTAATAGATCAGGCCAGTTGGTACCTATGCACAATCCTAAAGAGCTTTCTAACCAGCACTTTAAATTGCACCTCAAAACTAGCACTTTAAATTGCACCTGGAAAGTAACTGATAATCAATGCAAGATCCATAGTGTAGATAATAGATAAGACTAATTCAAAAAGAAAAACAGAGACCAGTCTGGCTAGAATAGCTTGCTGTTTCTTCAAAATCACTTAAAATCATGCTGAGAACAAATATTCTGGGGGTAAGGTGACCAACCGTCCTCCTTTAGGGAGAACAGTCCTCCTTTTTTAAGTTCTGTCCTCCCTCAAAAAGTGTCCTCCTACATGTCCTCCTTTTTGATATTTGAAGACTAATCTATGTTCTCATAGAACGCTCAGAACGGCATTCCAATACCTTTTTTTGATGTTTTTTTTTCCAAATTTTGTATGAGCTGTGCTACTCCCCCTATTGGCTTTTGAAAGCCAATAGGAATTGCTGCTGAGCGCGCCAAAACACCCGGCCGGCAAACTTTGCACATGTAAGTTGTCTGCAGCGAAGGCGAATTGGCAGGAACTTTGCACCCCTCCGTTACCCAACTACACCATCTCCTAGTTAGTCCCAAATATACCTGGAGGAGACTGGAGCGGCGATGCCACGGTAACTTTATTTATTTATTTTTATTTTATTTATGAGACTTATATACCGCTTTAAGTGCAAGCACTCTCTAAGCAGTGTACACCAGTAAGCAATGTATATATATATTTACATTGCCCCCAACAATCTGGGTCCTCATTTTACCTACCTCGGAAGGATAGAAGGCTGAGTCAACCTTGAGCCAGTGAGATTTGAACCGTTGACCTGTTGAACACAGTCAGCTAACGTGGCCTGCAGTACTGCTCTCTAACTGCTGCGCCACCTCGGCTTTCTCTTGATCTTCGCCCCTGCTTAGACAATAATGGCTGCAGGAGCAAGAGGCAGGGACAGTGGGGCTGCTGCAGGCGGGTGTGAGGGGCAGCGGTGCCCAGCTGCTCCCCATGCTGTGAGAGCCGCGGGGCCTACTCTACATGGGGCTGTGCAGGGTGGGCGGTGGTGCTGGTGGGGCGGCTGCAAGCAGGGTGTGTTGACGGCGGGCTGTCCCCCTGGGGCCAGAGCCAGCACAGCTGGTGCTTTGGGAGCTGCGGGGCCCGCTCTACATGGCGGGGCAGCAGTGCTGGTGGGGCGGCTGCGGGCGTGGCATGTAAGCATAATTACAATATAAAATGTTATTGTTACAAATGTTTTTTATTATGCATTTATCATATTATAGTGTATTCTGTATTATTGTTGCAATGAATAAAATGTTTATTTTATTTACAATATTTTTTTCTTCAATTTATTTGTGTCCTCCTTTTCATTGTAAAAATGTTGGTCACCTTACTGGGGGTCATTCTAGATCTAGCCAGATTGAGCAATCTGCTTTTGAGTCCTTTTATGTCTTAAGTTGTCATTTTATTGGTTTTTAGTTGTCAGACCTACTGCAAATGTTTTAAATGATTTTTATATGAGATTTGCTTGTAATGAGGTACAAATAATATCACACAGTTGGTTTTCAATATGGTCAAGGGCAAAGTGAGGCATTTTATGCCTCAGTACTGCAAAATGGCTTGAATAGTATGGCTTTGTGGCTAAATTCATGTGGTTTTACTAATTACATTTCCACACTTTACTGAATGAAATAAAATCCTGGGTAAGGTGATATGTATGTATGTCATAGTTCTAAACATCAGCAGGTACTGTAATCCAGTTTGTAATCAATTTAAAATACTGACTCAAATTATGGCAGGATTAAAATATATTTATTTGTCATATAGATATAAATATTTTAATACATTCAATAAAATTTAAAATTTCAAACATAAATATTCTCCAGTACTTAGATTACATATATACTGGATTTCTGCTCTTCAGATTCACCCTGTAAAGAAAACAAAGGCAAATTTTTGAAATGCACACTAAACCCTACAATTTTTACCATAAACTAACATAGACATTCCAAGTTTAAAGCAGTTGACACGCCATTGTTTTTAAAACTGAAGTAAATGAAGCTGACATCCCACATTTCTAAATTAGCTGGTACATGGAATAAGAGTATGCAGCATCCAACTTTTTTTTTAAATGTCCATTCATACATAAAGGTATTCCTTGACTTACAATAGTTCATTCAACGATCATTCAAAATTACAACAGTGCTGAAAAAACTGACTTATGACCATTTTTCACATTTATAACGGGTGCAGCATCCCCATGGTATATGATCAAAATTCAGACACTTGGCAAATGACTCATATTTATGACAGTTACAGTATCCCAAGATCATGTGAGCACCTTTTGCAACCTTCTGACAAGAAAGTCAATGGGGAAGCCAGATTCATTTAACAACCTTGTTATTAACAACTGTAACAAGAAAGGTAAAATGGGGTAAAACTTACTTAAATGTTTCTCTTAACAACAGAAATTTTGGGCTCAATTGTGTTGTAAATCAAGAACTACCTGTACTTTTATATAAAAAAACTGCCTGTTTGCTTACCTGAGTGTAGTCTTCAACAATATAACTAAATTGATTGGGGGGGAATAATATTCAATCAATTTCATAGTCTAAGATGTAAACTATAATTTTATCTAAAGCCTTTAGCTATAAATCTACTTGAAGACCATTCTCACTAAGCACAATCTAATTGTTTTGAAGTGTTCTGTAATCAAGTCAGAGCAAAATTTGAACATTTAGTTGATTTAGTTTACATCTTACCAACTTCTATACCACACATTTTAGTAATGTTGTCCTTTTAAATGGATATTTGCTCAAGGCATTGTGTAAAATAAACCATGGATAAGAGATTTACCCATGGGTGCCGTTACTGCTATCTTGTAGTTGTTCAGATAACATGACAAGATAAAGGCAGCTATAGGTTGCCATTCCTGCCAACCACTATTGTTCCCATCTTGTAACTATTTGGGTAACACTTTCTGAGTTCCTTTTTTTTTCAAAATTGAAAAAAAAAAAATCTCCTCATACTGGCCTAACCGGTCACAATTACTGCACAGTAAAAAGAGGCAGCTGATCTTCTCAAGGTTCTTAAAGTTTCTGAAATTTAAATGCTAAGTTTGAATGTCATGATAGGCCAACACAGTACATTGGCTGAATCAGATTAATGGATAACAAATGAATTAAAGAAAGTCCTTTAAAAAAAAAAATCCAGAGTGAAAAGAGTAAACAGCCTTAATCCTGTTTTACCTCTTTTGTGCCTTTCCAACCTTATTAATTTGTAGAATCCAGAAGATCGGATTATACTTTGTAAGGTTCTTATTTGTCATGCATTCTTTTAAATAAAAATATTTCTTAATACCTTGAATCATATTCTTCAGTTTGAGTTTCAATTGTTCTGCAGGGTGGAATAAAAACTTAGTTATTTCTGACTATACCTATTAGCCATTTATCTCATGATCTGAATACAGTATGAAACTTCCCTACCACCTATACCAGAGGTAGGCAACCCAAAACACTCAAAGAGCCACTTGGACCCGTTTCCCACCAAAAACAAAACACCGAAAGCCACAAAACCCTTTTGATATCTAAAATGAAGATAACACTGCATATATCCTTTTTTACCTTTATTATAGGTGTGTTTGTGTGTGTTTGTGTGTGTGTATATATACATCCGCAAAAATCTCAGAAAACATACACACACACACACACACACACACACACACACACATTAAAAATAAAAGTAAAAATATGACTCTTGGGAATATCCATACTATTAAAACAATGATCACCAAGAGAATGCTTTAAGAGAATAAAATTACATACACACATAGGTAAAAAAAGGATATATGCAGTGTTATCTTCATTTTAGATGTCAAAAGGGTCTCTTTCTCTCTCTCTCCCTCCCTATCTGCCCTTGGTCTGCCACTCCTCTTCCCCCCCTCTCTCCCTCCCTCCCTCTCTCTCTTTCTCCCCCCCTCCTATCTGCTGCTCACCTGGCAAGCTTCAAGCTGTTGTCCAACAAGCTCAGGGGTAAGCAACCTCGTCTCTTTTATGACTCAGGGACTTCAACTCCCAGAATTCCTGAGTCAGCCTAGCTGGGCTAGCTAGCTCTCTCTTGCCCTTCCTGCTTCCTGCAGAGACGCAGCAAAGGGAGAAGCTCCGCCCAGTAAACTTTTCAGCTCCTCGGAGAACACTGTGAGTGCACTCTCTTTTACACGCACAGAGAGAGAGAGAGAGAGAGAGAGAGAGAGAGAGAGAGAGAGAAGCAGGGAAGTGCAATTGCCTCTCTCTGTCTCTGTCTCTCTCTGCAAAGGCAGAGGAGGCTGGGAGCCACAGGGGAAGGCTCAAAGAGCCGCATGCGGCTCCAGAGCCGCAGGTTGCCGACCTGTGACCTATACCCTGGGCTACATATTTAGACTGCAACAATCTATGTGACCATAGATGGCAGCAAAGACACAGAAAATTGTTACTGCTGTGTATTGTTTAGTTTTGTGCAGTCCAGATTTGCTAGGCCTACTACAGGTACGCATCCTAGTCTTATTTAGGAAAGAGGAGGGCGGTATTGTATAAAGTCAATGTGTTGGCTACATTCAATATAATATGATAATGACTTTTAATATGATATTGGAATTTGATTCTGTGGGCATAATATCC